TGCAATGAATCAATGGATTGTCAATTGATTAAATGGATGGGGAAAGAAGAAAATTTCCTCCATGGTATACACCCGCTTTGCAGAACTAATTGGACATAAGCTTAAGTGACTAAGAGAGAGAGAGAAGGACCGGAAGCGACTGTTTAGTCAACTACAAATGCCTAAACTGACAATTTTGCTCATCATTTGAACGCCACTTTCTATCTGCAACCGTACACTCTTTTGCATTGGAAAAGCGAAAATGATAGTATTCAAATTTTGAAACAGCAAAAACGAGCACAAGGTAATAGTGGGGTAGACAACTGAAGTACAATGAACTATATCGTTGTTAGCAGCCCTGTACATAAGAACTGGTCAAGAACTTATGCCTGGCGTACTCTCCATCTCCAACCTTTTTAACATTGCTAGCAACTACTAAAATGATCACAACTACTGTACGCTTCAAATGAGCTACTACTGTATACGACAAATGGATTGCAATTGTACCACTGATTGAACCCAAGGGACGGAAACTAGCCGTGGATTAAGCTAGAAATGACTATATGTACAGTACTGTAGTGTTAAGATCAAAGCTAGCCAATCGGAGTTCGAAGTGACTTCTCAGTTCGATACAGACTTCCATGATATCCAACTAAATTTTGACCAAGATGCTCAAGTGAAATAATTCATTTCAGATCAATCTATAATCCATATACTCTAGCCATTTTGGAGAGAAATAAAAAATCGGATTGATCATGGCTTGTAATTATACTATCATTGATCAACCGTACCAAATGAGCAACTGAATTGGTTGAGGGATGGACCACTTGATCACGTTAATGCATTTCCGTAGCCCATGACTGAAGAACTCGCTGTATACTGTGTAGATATCGTATCTAATGGCCATTAGAACATCGACATGGTAAATTCAGAACTGCAACTAACTTTAAGCTAGTTGATATACTGTACTGTACAGTAGGTAGTGATCAAGTTTCTTCTAGCCTCATAACCCTGGCCTAAAATTCTGTGAAACATTATGTGATAGAGCGAGGCTGGCTGGAACACTTACGAAATTTTACTGTGATCCCAAAAATAACGTAGAAGCCCTTGCTTAGAGTCATAATTATTATCAATTATAGTCATATTTATGACTAGTTAACGAGATCTTGATAGAATAGGAATTAAATATATCTCTGTATACGAGTATTACTCCTATTCAACTCAATCACTTCAACACTTTTTCAGTGTGGCCATGGCTGTATAAGATCACGGAGACTAATACAGTACTTACTCCACGAGCCCTTTCCTACTGCAATCGAGCTCGGAGGTAATAGCTCCTAAAATCACCCTCCAGCATGAAAATTTTGCATATGAAAAAGACTTCATTAGGGATGAATTGAATCATAATTAAGCGGGGTTTTTTGGAGCAGGCCCATTTATCTTGAATCCATCAATGATGGCTTACAAGCTCTGCCTAGATAGAAGAAGATAGTCCATGGTTTACAATTGAGCATCGTCTGGAGAAATTGCAGCTCGAATGTAAACAAATTGACTATTACATCATTTGTTCATTATCGAATAAGCCTCAATCATGAATAATTCATGGCAATCTCTAACTCGATGCAGGACGCTCCATGATGCGCCATTTTGCATAATTAATACAGTCTAGAGACGTGGTGCCATAACTCTTATATAAACAAACTTTGCATTTCGTCATAAACTACAAGACAATTATAGGTATAGGAGAACTACAATTCATGACAATGTAAAATACTGAAAACGCCTTCAATAGCTCGAACCAGCGCCTTGTCAATTATTTTTACCCGATGTAAAAAAAATTGACAAGTCCCTCCTCGAACATGGCTAGGGTCAAAAGATGATTCCATCTCTGCTAAACAAGAATTATCTAATACCAGATTGGACAATCTTTTCTATTACCATTCATTAAAAACAAAATTTCTTCCGTTATTACACGTTCATCGATTGCAGCTAGAGCTAACAATCTTTTCCAAGATTACAAAACGCTTCTATGTGATCATTATTTATTGATTTACGCGTATATACAGTAATTGATTATTTATAATAATCTTGAATTAATGGCATACTCACAAACACACTCCTGCATTTTCTACTGCAGGGTTATTGAAAATAAACACCAACTCTACCTTTTTCACAGTTGCTTTAACCACACTCTATCATGAGGCGATCAACGATTAAAAGAATCTCATAACAATTAAATAAATGTCTATGTTATGAAACCGCACCTGATGCTCTACTATGCAAAGTGCTGTAGATCTATCATTCAAGTAAGATACTTGTCAAATAATCAAATTTGGATAAAATTAGCTACGCACAGTTTTATATTGTACCATGCAACATATAAATGTAAATTATACCATGAAATATCAAATCGGATTATTGAATTGGCATTGAGTAATATCACTTATTATAGGTTTAGTAAATATCATTAATCTCCAAGATGCCAGAATCGAATATTTAAGGGAATATGTAAGTTATACCGCGCTATATAAAATTGGCTTGTTAAATTGCTATTGAGTAATATCAGTTGCTATAGGTCTAGCAAACGTAATCAATCTCCAACTATGGCGCAATACTCTTCAAAATGACAGAATCGTGTACTTAGGGTTTATAAAAAATTACCAGGAAAATGAATTCTTCTAAAATTGAGTCATGAATCGACTGTATTTTAGATATATAGAGATGCATGACACATCGATTTAAAGTCTTTTAAATATTTTAATGAGGTTGTTGTACAGATTCAAAATGAAATCAAGATGAAAAATTTCCACAAGTGAGAACATCCTGAAATTTAGGCTATTTGAACTCTACATAAATCATCAATGTTCTTGCAAAATCTATTCTATTAATCGGCAATTTCGGTACTCAGTACCATCCTATGGAGCATAGACTTAACAATGATGAAAATCTTAGCAAAACTGGACAGTTACAAAGTTAAATTATTTCCTTTTATGGATTGTAAAAATAAACTCAAGGAGATCAATTCTTAATGAGTTGTGCTATTTGCGCCTGCAATGTTAGAACATGAATTTCTACTTTATGCCATCTACCGAATGACTAAGCTGACAAAATACTGTACTTCTAACCGCAACTCTTTTAAGAAGTTTACAGTATATCCTACTGCTGAGTCCAATGGTACACTTAAATCACGCCAATTCTGATAAAAGTCAATTTTAAAAAATCGCACGCTGACCATGCTAATTAATAATATCCAGTAGAATTAATACAAAAATAGAGGAGGTATAGTTTGATAGAGTACTACATACCACTACGGACAGTCAATTTGTTTAATTATTCTCAATTTAAATTGTCAGTTTATACCTCCAATTGGTTTATAGTATCTTAGGACATAAATTGTTACTAATCAGTATGAAGATCTTAGCTCAGCAGGCTAGCAAATTGTCATTCTTATTACTCATGCTGACTCACGAAAGGCCATAGTTCATCAAGACTACCTAAATAGCGACTTTAAATACTTATAACAATATTTCTATATAGACAAGAAGAAAAATGGAATGACGTAGCTGTCACTATTCATAGTCATTTCCATTTTTATCACTTCTATACTTCATTTGGTGCAATTCTTGACACCAACTTGACTCTAGCAGGATTACATCATTTACAACACCTATTTCATTCTACTATGCCAATCAACTTCGATCAAGTGATATCGTAGGGCATAAACAGGCACTAAAGCTCAGTACAAACAGTCCAATCACCAACCAAAATACAGTAAAATAAATAGGGTTCAAATAATATCCAGTAGAATTAATACAAAAATAGAGGAGGTATAGTTTGATAATCTGCAGTCAGTTCTACCGCTTTAAAGTATATTGTAAGCATGCCCGCTATACCAGTATTAGGTTCTACAGCGTAAGAGCATGATAATACTCATAGACTCTTCGAATTTTAGCAATGGAAAATACATCGAAATAACAGTCAACTTGTAGCACTGAGTAGAAAATACTATATTCAATATAATCGTGAAACATTGAAGTATCTTTACTGTAAAAAAAATAATGTTACTTTAATTGTGTGGCATTTGCATAAATACACATAAAGCACCTGCAAATACGGCAGTTAATTATTTATTTATAAAGTTTTTAGTATAGAGAGACTGGGGGGCTTCTCAGAAATACATTTCTCTTGATCTCCATATCAAATTGGTGTATATAGAAAGTGCTTACAAAGAAATTTAATGGCCCTGATATTTCATAACTAAACTGTACTATACTGGGACAACATTGGCTACAATTAATCAGCGTAAGGCCACTTAGATAGTAAATGGAAATTTGTCACCATTTCTTACCATTGAAAATCAACTATTTTAATTTGCTGCCGTAATTTATGAATTAACTAATTCCTACTCACAATCTCATAATCAATTTTTTGTTTAAGTTTAATTTTTTGCACGGCACATGTAGCAGGATAAAATCCAATACCTGCACGGTAATGAGCAGCCTATTTATTGATTACTATTGGAGTTATCAGTGCTAAATCGGCAGATGATCATTTAGTTTACAAGCACTCCTTGTAATAGCAAAACTGATGCTAGATCGTAGCGGTATTCTACGATTAATGATAAAATTACTCATTATAAGTATTAGTTGCCCTACCGCATTGTATTCTTTTTCTCCTATAGTCTAATTCCGATCCAAAAAAGCTGTTATAAAATATGTTCTGAAAAATGATTACCTTTAATTACATGCTTACCAACTATAGCTTTCAGCTTAATCATAAAATGATAATGTAATGATTAAAATAGATAAATAGCTTAAAATTTTTCTCCCTTAATAGAAATGTGGATATAAATTCACGAATTTTGCCATTTTACCATTAAATGCAAGAACCTTTGATGGTCACTTTATAGAAGCTAGTTCATCACTCTACTGCATTGATCATTTTGTCATGTTATCCTTTTCATTTATGTCTTTCAGCAGATAGAGAAGATTTCAATCAATATTGTATAAGCTAGACTAAAAATGAGCCGAGCTTTAGCAACGACTATCGACCATTCATCCGAGGCTGCATTATCTATCCATCGGCTTAAACTGGTAAGATATCACTTAATTATCATTTAAAATATAGACTTCATTTATGCGAATATAAATAAAGCAATTCGGAATATAAGAACATACACCTTTCATGCGATCATCCTGATGAGCAATTTCTATATCAATATTAACCTAATTGACCCGTATGCTCATAAGATCTACTCTGCATCGTTCGATATCTATTTACCAATTTCATTGGAATAACTTACTTTCATATAGTATATATATAAATCTTCAGTTATGCTACCTTGACGTACAATTTTCATATTAATGTTAACTTATTATACGCATACGTATACTAATAATCATGGTTGTAGGCATATTAAGATATGTATTAGTTAATCTGATCAGTGGCCAGTTAACCAATGATATATTAAGGCTTAAAATTGTTTTTACTTCGTCGTTTTGAGTTCCAGTTCTAAATGTATGTATATCGAGCAATAGGGATTCTTCTTTATATATCAGAATATCAAACACTTTGATAGATTTAATGACTTACTTTCATCCATCTGAATATTACAGTTGATCACCAGTTTACTTTTCTGTAGTCGCTTTGTTAATATAATCTTAGTGTCCTATACGATAATAAATTCAAGTTTAAAGTTGCTTTTGTTCTATTTGAAGGCTTAGCTCATTCAAAAATGACATCTTACAAAGTATTTCTATTCCTTTATCGAGAGAGTAATATTTTGATCACATGTCGAGATATCACATTAATTTTGATTCTGGATAGCATTTAGTCCTCTAAATGCCATAAGCTGGTCAACTTTGATATACTAGAGTACCGTTTTTGCATTTTATCGTTATAAATTCTGCCTTTCTATTTGTAATGTCAGCGCGAGTCAACATCAACAAATCCTCGTTTGAAATCACAAGATCATTAATTATAAAGCAGAACATAGATCTTCTGTATCCCAGTTTTGCTTGTATACTCACAATTCCTGTATCGACATTAGTTCTTATACTTCATAGCTTATTAAAAACATCATTGCCATGAGAGACGTAGTTAATATTAAACTCCAGGGTTGGATTGAAAGAAGCAATGAATCTTTAAGTTGAGTACCAATAGTATACATGTATCTAATCGGGCGGGTTATAATCCCACGATAGAATCGATATCATGATAGCATTATATAAAATCTTATAGCAACTACTCTTAAATACACCGCAACATCAATAGTTTATGACATAACTTTTACATGGTGTCTTCCTTCCGTACATGAGCTGTAACAAACTACTAATTGATTGCTGTCGTCTTGAATCTTTCGCATATGCAGCTCATGAAAGATACAGAAGCAGTCAATATATATCGTGTAAGTATTGTAGTTAACCTCGCTCAGAAAGTATTATATTCCATCTATTAGCGTACACTGACGGCTAGTAAAGGTCTTCAGTATCAGTTAGTACTAATTAAGCTGTCTTAATATATATCCTTAGTCACAGTTTTCTAATGCAAAGTGAAAACAAATAACCATATGTGGATCGATTACTTATATACTCTTCTATTATCTAAATATTTAGTATTGTAAAACTTTATCGTAGTAAACAATAGCCTTCGAGTTAATTTCGTTCCTCTAAATTATTTTTTATCTTTACGTCAGAATCTACCCTCACATAATAAGTGCTATATTTGCACAGAAGGACGAAAGGAGAATAACCGAGAGAAAAATAGATACAATGATATTCTACCATGTAAATTGATCGTTTATTCCTACGCGGTGGCTTAACTTAACCAATAGCTATTAATGTATTCCGTTAATGTACCATGAATTACTTAAACTGGTTTAAATTGATCTACCAACTAAAGCTATCGTGTTTAAATACATAAATTTATATTTGAAAGATTGTAATGGATTGTATATTTTTAATTGATCGATATTCAGATGACGAAACAAGGGTAAAATTAAAGTCACAAAGATTAGATTATATCAACGCTAGTTATGTTGACGTAAGTTATTTTCATCATTTTAAATTTGACGATCTTAGACTCGTAAATCATTTAAATCAATATTAAAGAAAGAATATTTCAATTAAAAAGAGGATTCAAATATATTGATGGTAATATATTTTAAATCATGTATCATCCATCATGTATTATACCAGTCGTAATTTTACTGCTAGTGTGAGAATTATTTTTTCGCGTACGAGTATTCTTATAGTATATAGTAATTTCGATTTTAGCTTTGGTCTTTTTTCAATTCGATAGAATACTAATCGATCGCTTATTCTCTTGCCTTATGCTCTCTGGTGAACTAAATTTAAATTTTAAAGATGAATATTTCTAAGTCAGAAATTATCAATAGATATATTTGTGCTCAAGGTCCATTAGCTAATACTGCAGCAGAATTTTGGCAGGTAATTTTGGTTTGCATTATCAATTAGACAGCGATGCGTACTACCTATTTTCGAAGTCAAATTGCAAGTCTGGTAACTACTCGATTTATTGATAGACTGTAAATAAAGTTTTATATAATTTTTTTTAATTTATAGATGATCTGGGAACAAAAATGTTTAGACATTGTAATGTTAACCTCTTTGGTGGAAAATGGAGTGGTATTTCAATGATAAATTTTATAATATTTCTATTTCATCATAATCCTTACTATCGTAATTGACTAAGTAGGGATAATTTTATAGTGAATTAGAAGTAGATATAGTATAATCTATAATCATACAGAATAAATGCTACAAGTATTGGCCAGATGAAAACAAGCAAATGCAATTCAAAAACTTACAAGTTCACTACTGCTCTGAAACAGTTGAAGAACATTATTTTTTTAGAAACATCATATTAACCGATTCAAAGGTAAATCAGAAAATTGGATACCTTTAATCTAGCTTGCATATTAAATTCAAATTCATCCAATTAGGAAACTAGAGTTATTCATCATTTTCAATACAAGAAATGGCCTGATCATGGTAGCAATGTTGCTTATATTAAATATATTTTTTGTCACGATTAGTCTTTATAACTAGCCCTACTATTTCCTGATATCAATAGGAGTTCCAGATGATGATAATGGATTTTATAATTTCGTCAAGTTCGTCGGCATGAGTCGCTATACTCCCGCTTATCCTACTCTTGTACATTGCAGGTAATTCTACTAGCGCGAACTAGGCATATATATTTATATATATATATATAAATAGCTATGGATAAATAACAATCCCTTTGATAAGTAAAATTATTACAAATTCATTAATGATCTCCCCATCCACTCTAGTGCTGGCGTTGGACGTACTGGTTGCTTTGTGGCTATTGAAACAGCTTTAGATAAACTTAGATATTCTGAAAAAGTAGACATAATAGCAATCATTAAAGAGATGAGAGATCAACGAGGATTATTAGTCCAGAATCCAGTAAGACTTGCTTATATGACATCTATTAATTCATATACATTTCACATGTCGCTAAGTAAATATACAGTAATAATCTTGCCGTAGTAGAAGAGTAAAGTAATTTATCTTGTAAAGCAAAATCCTACCAATCATATACTGAATTTATAATAAGATAGAACGGATCGAAATGAGTATTCAAATATGTTTCCTAGTACATAAAATGTAAAATACAGTTAATGCTTGTTACATAGTACTGTTACCATACAACGAGTTGAATAATTTTCACGTACTATATATTACTTGCAGGTACAATTTAGGTTTATCTGTAAAACCATCATTTCAGCATTTGAAAGTAATGGTAAATCCGTAAAATAAGGTATAATCGTGCTTTGAAAAGATATGATTTCTGAATCATTAATGTAATAATAATACTTGTTGATTTTTGAAATGTACAATAATACAGACAATTTCCATAGATTCCATCGTTTAGTATTAAAAAATTAATTTGCCACAGATTATAACATCTATATTTCTGCCTTATTCTGTCATTATCTTAACAGATAAAGTCCTCAACTAATTGAGAATAAATGATGAAGAATTCTTGGAACTTTACCATAATGATTTACTGTTTGCAAATTAAGAGCTTTCATTTCGATAAATATATAGTGGATTCTATGCCATACTTCTATTCATTTATAAATATAGTTTAAATAGATATCAAGAATGTTAACCGATCTAACTTTCGCATCTAGCGCATTGATTTTCTTTCATACTATCATATCTAGCCTCGTGTTTTGATAAACAGGTAATGGATTTATTACTCCACAATTCTATCATTTTATGAATATAGTTTAGATATCAGAGAATGTTAGCTGATGTGACTTCGCATACCAACTATTGATCTCCGTTTTTTCTTTTATATTGTAATATTTTGAATAAATTGAATTTGTAATAGTAGTCTCTATAGTTTTAGATTTAAATGGTTATATTACTTTCTTGTAACTATTAAACAAGAAGTCGATACCTATTTTCTCGTAGAGGCCAATAGCATTATTACTACGGTAGTAATCAAGCTTAATACATGCTTGTTAGGCTAACTTGTAATATTTTTTTGTTACCTAGATCCTTTATTTTATTGTTGCCCATTGAAAAATAATCGCTATTGGCAAAGATATAAAATAAATGCTTTAATAGTGTTTGCCATTAGAGTTCATGAAATTTTAAACCATGAAAGAAGCAATTACTGATTATGATTAGCTATCACAGTTTTAGTCTCTTATGTGAAAGGGCTAATTTCTAGTAAAATTATATCGGTTCAACATATGTAGAATCATATCTTGTTTATACACGGAATACGCATACGGGTACATCCAAATTTTGAAACAATGAACGTAATCTAATATACCTTTCAAGAACACACGTAGATTTACTAATAATCTTACGCAAAGTCTTGACAATAAAACATGCCGTACTGTATATCTAATGGCATATGTAATTTTATCGTTTTTAAAACTATTTATGTACTTTTCCCAGTTAGAACGCTAGTAAAAGCAGACAAATTAAATCCAATAGGCTTACTGCAAATACTAAAAAGATCATTTCTGATGGTTATATTTGGAAAAGTAGTGGGCTTCTCCTCTAAATAATACCTTTAATCTTGGATAGCAATATTTCTTTCAGTGCATATGTACGGCATATTTGCTAATGGAATTAGCCTTTTAGAGTAAAATAGTAAGGGATAGTTTGCAAACCTTAGACGTATATAATGAATAAATTACTGAGTTACTAATATTTCCAGACTCAAAGGTGTTTAATAATTTCGACTAATATTCTTCATTGAAATATAGTATATGGTACTATACATATTTTTATTAAAGCTTTTAATGTCGCCCAACAGTTTCCACGGGTAGTATTAATTTATTCATATTTTATGACGTTTTTGCAGATTTTACGTTTAATGATATTTTTATATAATACAATTTCGTCATAACTTCCTAGTTAGAGCCTTACTATGAAAGTAAAGAGCTGGTAATTCAATAGATGTAAATGTTACTACGTATGATAAACGATTTACAATCTTAGATCCTTAATGGTAACAAGTAGGTATTTTGAGAAAGAAATTCTAAGTCGCGAGAACATCCTGTAAAGCCATAATGAGGAGTATGAACTACCAAGATAGGGTTCTGTCCACTTTTTATACAATTTATTCGAAATTCAGGTCAAATTAATTATTACACCATTAAAATTTTGTTTTAAAAATCATCCTATGAATTGACGTGAAGAATAATAGCGTTGTGATAAAAGTATATCCTAAAACAGATGACTGAGATATTTAATTCGAAATTAAATTATTAAATTTCATAAAAACTTCAATCCAGTAACGAATAAGATAAACAATTTGTAATACAAAATTGATACTTATTATATAATTATTATTAAAATTTCGACGACTTATATTTACATCAGTTAAAAAATTAATTCCAGCTCGGAAAAGTTAAATTACGTAATAATTCCAGTTGTCTCAAAGTTAAGACACTTTACACAATTACTTATGTTGGATACAAGTTCATGAGCATCTATACATGAATATAGATCAAGTAAAACGATATTACCTCAAAAATTCAATATCGTACATCATAAATCTTACAATCATTACACCATGTACACGTACAATAAATCTATAGATCATAATAAAGACGTCGAGAGTTTGAGTTTAGTTAGATTTTAGTTACAATTTACGAAAATTAATTTAGTTAATAAAAGTATTAGGAAGCAAGTCTATTATAATCAGAACGTAACGTTGAAGAAATAATCCTGCGGGAATCTAATGTAAAATGCTATCTGACTTTCACCAATTCTTTAAATCTCCAAAAGCCTGGATACTGCCATAGCCTACGAGGATTTGCTTGCATTATTATCATCATTTAAGTATAAAGAATCTATAAATCAATAAAAATCAATTATACGTATTTAGATTTCATCACAGGTGTGCCGTTACTGACGTATGTATACTGTATATTGAAGTATGCCTTTTGCCTAAGAAGATAGTCATTTCCCTGTTAATTATCATTAAAGGATTTACTTTAAAAGGTCAGTTTCAGCTTATATACTTTTATAAAAGATTACAAATAAAATAGAACTATATTAATAACTGGTACCTAAATTAACCTACTATGAACTAAAAACTTCCTTCCATATTTGCAATATCTGATGCAAATCATTATAATTGTTAACAGTAACTGAATGTTAGAACTAAGAAAGCAATCAGAATACTTCAATACCTAACAGATTTCTGATTGTAAACTTTGAAATGAAAAAGATTCATTTTTAAAATACCACAATCTATAAACCATGTATTGACTTATTCCAGCTATTATTGTACGATAGTAAATTTTTGAAATTTTTTTACGTAATTGCCCGATGAGCGTATAAATAGAAATTACTTACGATCATACGCGTGTACTATAGCCTTACATACAAATGCGAACTGATCCTGAAATTTAGAGATAAAAATTAAAGCAAACCCATTTGTTATAATTAAATAATATAATTGGCCATATTAAGCATCCCCAATCTAACCGGTGTCTGAATTAATAATCCTCTTTGTTCTCTCATTTTTTTAAGTATCTGTAGAATATCTATTGCTTCAGATCCTTTTAGTTTACAAAATGCCGTTTCCATAGCCATAAAGCAACCGCTGCGTCCTACACCAGCACTATATTAATCATAGAGTGGGTCGGTTTTATAGATTGAAATACCTTAGAATTTCATGCTATCGTAATAGTTATAGAACGCTAATTTTTACCTGCAATGAACTGTGACTGGGATATCAGGCTGAGATCGACAGCTATTGACGTATTGAACGAAGCGTATAAAATCTTCGTAACTGTCAGGTACGTCTAGAAACATACGACGTAAGATTAAGTTAGGAATATTCAATTTCAAAAACCAATTTAAAAGAGATTACCATGGTCCGGCCAGCCAATATATTGGATTTGTTTAACAATTCTCGACTCCTAAAATAAGCACGTATCCAATTAATAATTGAAATAGTAGCGGAATTACCAACTATTTATACAGTACTAGGTATAGTAATTGATACTACAGTAATAGCATACAAGATATGAATACCTTTCCTAAAGACAGCTCAAATTCTCTGACAACAGATTCAGTTTTCTCACTTTCAGAAGTTAATTTAACTTTATAATTCCCGTATTTAGTAGGTGGACCATTTTCTGGCCAGTAATGGTAACATTTACTCTATTATCAGTGAGCATAATAAAAGAAATCTGTCATAAGATGTAAGATGTGATAGAAAAATATTGATTGAACATAAAGTTTAATCGTAATGTAACGATCATAAAAGCAAGATCTCGGCTAGATAGAGTAAAAAGTTATCACCATTCCGCTTTCCATAAGTGCTGTTAGCATTACAATCACGGTAGATTTATTCTCCCATATCATCTATAACAAAGCAGTATACAATATATTGTAATTATTGGTAGCACGGTGTTGAATGCTTAATATATATATTTTAAAATGATATTAAAATAATAACGTTATAGCAAAATATAACAGAATTGAAATACCTGCCAGAAATCATTTACTGTATTAATTAATGGACCTTGAGAACATATATAACTATTCGTGATATTTAGAGATTGAATCTGCATCTGAATATCGAAAGTTTAAGCAATAAATTTTCATGATTATGTGTTATCAATAGTTAACAACTAGAATAAGAAGAAAGGATCTAATTTTAAGTGTATTTTTATATGCTTACATTTACTAGACTGGCATTTATGTAGTCATTAGCGGGGGTTGATAATATTACCCTTGTTTGATCATCTGATTCGAATATTAGAATAAAATGGTAAAAAATTATAATGACATAAATCGTGAGAATATTACAGGCATATATTCAATATATACATGGAAGAATATCTCTATATCTATTCTTTGGTGAATTCTTTTTCTTTCGCCCTTCAACATATGTGAAAGATTCTTTTGAAGTTATAACATCCTAAAACGTATCAGATTTATGAAAATTTAGCACACCCGTGTATAAACAGAGGAGTGAGTTAGCACAAGGCTTACCTTATACACAATAAAAATCTCTTTTGTTTCGATTAACTATTTCATAAAAAGTATAATGTTAACATTCGGCCTTAACAGCATAACGGCATCAAATTTTATCACATAATCGAGTACCTTCTTTAATTCAGTAATTGACTTCTCGCATGTATTTCTAGGCTCGGTAGGATTATCCTTATTTAATAAAAATTACGCAACGTTACAGATAATTATTATTTTTTACCCGTAATAATATTTCCTTTTTCTAAATTTTGTAGTTAGAAGATTCTAAAATGTAATAATTATCTTTCATTTACTACGAAAGATTCGCCATCAAGTTTTGAGGCATTCGTTGACGATTTTCCAGATGGTTCATTAGTATCGTTGGAGATTCCACCGGTAGAATTTCTGCGAGAGCTACGTGGTGAACTAGGGCCTAAGAATTAAAATTTAAAACATTACGTCTATAATTACGTTGAATTATACTTTAACACGAACTAATGAGATGACAAATATGACATATATGATAGGGGAAAGACAGAATTGAAACCTGGTGATTGTTCTGGAGACTTTATCCGTAATGATTGAGTTCTAGGACGAACATCATAAATTCCATCAACACGTGCTATAAAATTTAATAAATTTAAGACCGCATTGAATTGCAATTGCAATACAAACCTATTGACAGTAGCTTTATTTGGTCTCCGAAGTGATTTGTCCCGATATACTTCACCGTAATTTCTACCACTAGAAACCGTAATTAGAACGACAGATAATAAGCATTAAGATTTGTAATGTCTAGGCAGATGTCGATAGTTATATTTACCAGTATTCAAACATTGATTCAGAACGTAGTTTCCTTTGAATTGTATTAAACCAAGAACGATCTGCATTTTCCTTCTTACTTCTAAAATGAACAAAATTATACATTAGTTATAAACGCTAGTAAGGAAATCGGATAGATACATAAAATTGATTAAACGAAATAGAAAGAAAATAGTGGGACCTATAGAATCCAATGTATTCAATACACAATTTCCAGATAGCTTTACATGCACGATAAGTAGGAAATCTAAAATTCCGGCATGAGTATTGTCCAGGTTCCTATAAGAAATGTTATGGTATACCACATACGTTTAGAAGGACGTATTATACGAGGGGTGTACTAATACTAATATATTTATTCCGAGTCCTACCTTTTCCATCACGACATGAAAAATCTTTCCTTTAAATCTTAATTCTTTGATACTAGTCCTAAAAATAACATAATTTACAAATTCCGCTAATTTAAAAAGATGATATATGTTTATAGTATAGTATAGTAATACCAACCATCCTAAAATTTCAAGTTGTTTATCCTTGCGCTCGATGGCTATTCCTCCGGGAAGTGTCCATAAAGTGATCACTCCTACGTAAGCCTCCTATATTACACTTCAATGTTAGTCTCGTACGGTGATTCAAACCGAATCTATCACAAGGGAAGTATTTAAATTGGGCAGTGTTTTTTAAAATAAAATTCTTACCCTAACGGATGAAGATACACCCCCGTACGTTCTAAATTTAGATACTACTGCCAGTAGGTTTCTTTCTACTTCAGCGGGACTTTGACCTCTGCAATTTAAATAAAATATTTTAGAGGTTACTAGATACATTCTTATCGCCAACTTTAATAACTAAAGAGAAATAGTCCTCCATCCATGACAGAGTTACTACAAGCACACCTTAGAGATTTATGTATCCTGGCTATTTCCGTTTCATCTGCTTCAGTCTATTAGTTACAAGTGCATAGAATATTATTATCATTACTCTTCTACGATGATCTGCAAAAAATTTTAGCGTTATAATTATAGATTCCTCGTAGAGATACCTGATCTGGAATAACTTGTGTATCTTTCAAATAGCCCGATAAATGATAGTTTTCATCATAATCACCAAGTTCCGCTATCAGTAATTAAGAAATGAAGATTAGAAATAATAGAAACATTTCTATAAATATCATTACATATGCATGATACCGTAGCAATAGTAAAATTATCAAATAGCAGATAGTGACTTTATTTAAATAAAATAGGATAGTATTGACAGTCGTAAGCTTTGTGAACGATAATTCTTTTTAAGTACCTTGTATAATGAATGCTCCAACAACCGCTAACTTATCCTGTGGAACGCGAAGCCTAAATCAAAATATTATAAAATATTTAAACTTCCAAGTATCTTGATTATGATTCGCATTTCAACCGTAAACATAATATGAGTTGCAGACCATTTTACAAATTATTCTAAAGAAGGTGATAAAAAATTTGAATTCGTTAAACAAATACCTGCCATCCTTAACGTCGTTTCGAATTTGCTGATAAAATAGATACCTAAACAAATAAATTATGAACAAATTAATTAATAGCCTTGATAGAATAACAGTATAGCACGTATTGAAATTGTATTGAAATGAATATTGTATACAACTGTATAAATTTAGCATAGTAATAGATTGAAGGACCGTATGTAATAACATTTTAAGATTCAGCAATACAAGCATATATATTAGGCAGAGTTATAGTCTTAATACATACGAACTTGTCTAGTGATTTTAAAAATTTATAATGTGCAAGTATTGCCCTATCCTAAGGTTCTCGAAATATAGTAAGTTAGTCCAGATCAATGTACCGTACCTTGTTAGCTCTTCCAGCAGATTATCAGGACGAATGAAAAATTTGACTCTAAACCAGGCAGAGTGCGGTGTTTTACCTAAGTTTACATACACGAAAGTATAGTACTTAAACTTCTTGATAGCTTAATATCTGGTTAATATATATTCATTACATAGTCATTATTAGTAATACTGCAAGAACGATTAGCCTCTGATGTTTTGACATAGTATAGTATAAAGTCAATGACATGCTACATCTTACGGTGATAACAGAAACTACTAGAAAAAACGGTATAACTTGCATTTACAGAACAGCAGCTGTAAAAGTGTGAACACATTGTATCAATAGATTATAAAATACGATAAGCTTGTATTAACTAGAATTATTTGCTTAAATAGCTATTGGTAATTAGACGATACAGGCTCTATTGACCTGTAATCTACAATGTTGTACCTTTAATTTGTTTTCGAAGCAATTTCTTTGGCTCTAGCCAAAGCTGTTTTCAATCAAGAAAGAGAAAGGGCTGTTATTAGTTTTATTCACATTATTTCACGTTTAATTTGTATTGGTAGATAAATTACAGTGTATAAGTGAATTAATCTAATTTTTCTCTTTAACTTAAGACTACTTGAAGTTTTAGAATCGTTAATTAATCTCTAAAATCCTAAATATAGCTATGTAAGTAATTGTTAAGAAATTAAGTTGTACAAGTATATTACAAAACCTTACATAAGTTTGAGCCTTTGGATGGTAGTAGGTTAAGCCAAAGTAATCAGTTTCAACTATGTCTTGGGATTTAAATACTTCACGTAATAGTTGTTCTCCAAGCGCTTGTCTCTATCAAGATAATAAATAACAAGGACTTAGCTATACCGTATCCAGGTTATATGTGCTATGAATTGTAAAACGATTACAATTTACTGTGCCAGTTGTAGAACATCATCCTATATCATTACAGTGTACAGTATTTTAAAAATTCAAGGGAAAATTTAATTATACCAAAACAAGCAATGCACAATTGGATAATATTACAATGCAATTGTTATAATGCACATTATTATACGGTATGCAATACAGTGTCCCCAAAATTAACGATGTACCTTTTCAAAATATTTTCGAGATCTATTTTGACTGAAATATTATGATGTAAGTTTGTCAATTTAAGATAATAAAGATAAATATACGATCTATTTTTATGATTCCGTTCCTTGGGAACAACTTTAGTCATGAAAGTCTACCGTACAGTATGCGTAATGAGCTCATGACGAGGTTGAATTATACCTGTATAGTATATAGCGTTACACTGTAATATTCATCAGAATCTACATATTTTATGTGCAGAAAATGTCCAACCCAGATTTGTTAAGAATAATTTGTTCCATTCCTTTTCCAAAAAGACCGGATATCCATATTTTAAGAACTTACAAATTTTTAGCATTTAGGAAATGAATTAATTATAAGGCATTATCATTGCGGGTTCGTAAATACTTTTTGACAGTGAAAACATCAGGATAAAATGTAGAACTTGCTCTATTTCAACAAAACGTTCGTTTTGACTCTTCCAAGATATCATATCGTGCTGTACAGTATAGTACACAGTTTAAAAGTATATAAATTTTCTTTATCTGATATCGTATATTGAGGTTTAAAATATTATACCAGTTCAAGGGAATTGGTATCAATTTTTTTATTTTTTGTACACAGGTGAGTAAAGCAGTCAAAACTTTTAACGACTATTAAGTATTTACAGTAGAGAAGGGGCTACTTAATTTCTGGTGATTCACTAGTTATCAACAACTATCAGTATAATATTGATACGTTTATTTTCAATCATAATTAAGTATTAGCATCCTGGTGTTTCACGACTACGGACACAAATGCATCAATGTGCTTACTAATATTATCATTGCGTACTCGTAGTTTGTATCCCGTCTAGCAGTACTAACTAATTCTATTATAGTCGTGTTGAATTGCCTATTTATGATAACGGCAGACATTTTTGTGGTTATTGGTACTACAAAAAACTATCGCTGTATAACAGCATCATCCATGGAACAAAAGATAAAATGAATCTTGTCTTGCTATAAATATTTTATGTCTTTGATAAGATATTGTAATAAAATTCATCTTGTAACGCAAATCAATTTGCTTATGTCGTAGAATTGCTGTATTTCAGTGGTAGCTGCTACTCAAATCTGGTCCAAATGTAATACCATCTCGCTAATATGCATGAAAAGGATTACTGCACTGTCGATGGCGTCTAAAATGTACTGGGGAAATGATTAACTCTGATAGAGTTAGCCCTAACCCTAACTCTTTGCAAGTTAAGAATAAGTTAGAAATGAGTAATCATCGGCGTTTAAAATAGAGTAATTTTACTGTTATCTAAAAATGCAATTGTAGAGATAATATTAATCTAGCTCGAGTGCAGTACGTCGATTGGCACTTCTTCATAAAGTATCTCAATGCTATAGAATGTACTGTACGTTCAATTATACACGTTATAGGCTCTGGCAACTGTATAAAATGGTAACCACTTTAGTAGTAGTTGGACTACAAGGTTAATATTCATTGGTATTGTCAATTTGTTGTGATTAATAATTATCAGAGGGATTGACAGAGAATAAAAAATCGTTATGGGCAGGTTAGTTGACTTTTCATCATCAATACTTCAACATCGCAAGTAGTAGATATTGCAAGCAATTTTACGTTTAAAGATGTATTTTAAAATTTCTGATATTGTCTACAGCATGATATAAAGATCAATGCACCATTTACGTACTGTAGAATTTGACAGTGTAAATGGGTGGCTATGCCGTCGCTGATGAAGATTTGTAACTGCATCCATTGAAAGTGTGAAAACCCGTTACAGTAATGACGTGAAGGAATGAATTTGTAATTTACTGTTTAACCACTACTACGATTTGATCAATCCTTATAATATGATGATTTATGATAGTTGAAAATATTGCAATAACGAAGAGTGATTTAATTTCAATTTATTGCAGTCCTGAAGAGTGGAAGATTTTTATCCATTTCAACTGTATCTACTTAAAAGCTATCCTAACGTCCGGCATTGTATCTAGGCACTATAGTGCTCATAATGGTTTAATTATCGTTGACTATAGCTATCAAGGCGGCTAAAAGCGACGATTCCAATCGGCATGGATAAAAAAAAAGAAGTTTTTCCATGTTTCTTCTCGATGTTTCATGTTGCTATTTAAATAGTGTGACTGATCGGTTCAATACGATCAATACGCCTACGAATCAAGTCAATTGGAGTTCAACGTGTTGGGAGCTGGACCATAGGGGTAGGGGTAAGGTGCAATAAAATTGGACGTAGAGTAGGAATCCTTGGATTGGAGGGACGCTTTGAAGTTGAATGACTACGTTGTTGTTGACTAGATGTAGTCTACGAGCGTCCCTATGAGAATATGATTATCTCAATGCATGATCATTATCATTAAAGTAGAAGAAATGCGAGACATCAACGCTGATGATCGTGTCCCTATGTACACGTTGAGAAGATTCTCTTTTTTTTTTGGGGGGGGGGGGGAAGATTCTTGTTGTTGAAGTACTGTGTGTCTCAGTGAACCTTTGCCTCCAATATTGTATGAGATGATTCATGATGGAAATATCGACAAAGGAATTGATCCACTCGATTGTGTAAGAGGCAAGGTACAATCAGTACGACATGACGACATTGCATGCGAGAGTAGTGTAGAAATAAGCTAAAGAATCCATTAATAACTGCATTGTTTCTCAACAAGACCTTTAGACCTTGGTTGAGTTGGTCATAAGTGAAATAATGCGCAAAGATACGCAGACGGTTAACTAGTAAGGTTTGATAGGCGCTGCTGAGTGGAATGAAGGATACAAGACATTTTTGAGTGCATTTGAACGGATGAAGACTTACATGAATTGTGAAACGTTGAATTTCATCATTCAATAAAACAATGTTATAAGAAATTTCCTTTCGAAATGCTTTGATTGCGGTCGTTTTTCCACTCATTGCTGCACTCCAGTAGCACCAGACAAGAGGGTTTCAACCAGTCTCGATGTTGCTTCTATCCTAGATTCCTAGTATAGAATATGTTAGAAGGAACAACGGCGGACCAAGTTGGTCGCTCCCCAATACTTTACTGTGACGATGATAAGAATGAATACAAAGTGGCAAGGATGGATCAATTAAGGTGGTCCTTTTCCAATTTGAATACACTATGCCTGATATCGATTGATTTGGATGTCTACTGTTTCAATAACTATAGATCAAATAGTGATTTTTCCATTGGATGATATTCACCAGCCATAAAAAAGCGTCCAAGCAATCAATCAATTGGTTTCTCCCCAAGAGAAGAAAAATTTCCACGCCAACGGATCCACTTGTGGTCTCTCTAGTGGAAAGAGTCCAGACACTTAGTCGGGGGTCCTGGTCTTGTTCCGGTCCGGTCCGGTCCGGTCCTGGAGCTTTCTAGCAATAACAGACTGGATCACGACCGATGATGGACTGTCCCATGGACGAGTCCATTCCGCTACTGAACTATACTGTAGAGCGAGTAGGCTAGCACTAGACCAGCGAGCGCGGTTGGGTACGCTAATTTGAACCGAACTGCTAATTCAATTTCACCAGGAATTTCTGCCTTGGCACAGTATCGTCTGGTGAGAGTGCATTGTACTGTAGCGTACAGTACTGTACTGTAGCAGTCTGCATACTGGAAGTCCTGTTGTACTGTACAGTAGTTGGTGTGGTCCATTTGCGATTTTAGACTCTATTTTTCTGCCCAATAAGATGAATTCGTTACTGAATAACAGGTACAATTAACAAATACATCACAAGCTTTCAGACAAGTTCAAGTATCCGCAATGCAAGGTGCTTGAAAAGCGATATCAAGATGGATGGAGTGCTATCCAATGACAGTAAAGTCAAACTTGGCTACAGTGCCAATTGCCCAGTCAAAACACTGTACAGGACTGTACTGTACACTGTACAACAGAATCGCTGAGTGCAATATGAGTTGAGCACGAAATGATACTGAGCACAGCAGCACTCGACGGACATTGAGGCTTAATAAGATGAATTCGTTACTGAATAACAGGTACAATTAACAAATACATCACAAGCTTTCAGACAAGTTCAAGTATCCGCAATGCAAGGTGCTTGAAAAGCGATATCAAGATGGATGGAGTGCTATCCAATGACAGTAAAGTCAAACTTGGCTACAGTGCCAATTGCCCAGTCAAAACACTGTACAGGACTGTACTGTACACTGTACAACAGAATCGCTGAGTGCAATATGAGTTGAGCACGAAATGATACTGAGCACAGCAGCACTCGACGGACATTGAGGCTTTGGGGGGCCTTTAAACCTACTTCTCTACACTGAGTACAGCACTCGACGGACATTAATTAAGTTAAGGCTTTGGGGGCCTTTATTAGCAGTTGCCTACCAAGAATAACCAATATACAGTACTGCATTAAAGAACCTAAAGTACTTCTCTACACTGAGTACAGTACTCGACGGACATTGAGGCTTTGGGGGCCTTTATTAGTAGCTAGTTGTCTACCAAGAATAACCAATATACTGTACTGCATTAAAGAACCTAAAGTACTTCTCTACACTGAGTACAGCACTCGACAGGCATTGAGGCTTTGGGGGCCTTTATTAGTAGCTAGTTGTCTACCAAGAATAACCAATATACTGTACAGTACAGTACTGCATTAAAGAACCTAAAGTACTTCTCTACACTGAGTACAGCACTCGACGGGCATTGAGGCTTTGGAGGCCTTTATTAGTAGCTAGTTATCTACCAAAAATAACCAATACACTGCATGAAAGAACCTACTTCTCTACACTGTCTATTTGTACTTGGAAACTACAAGTACAGTACTGCAACATGCAGAATATGCCAAATCCAGCTCATTTCCTACTTTTGATTGCTAGCCGATCTCATGGATGGTAAGAATCGGTTTTGCAATTGACCAGCTTTTATCATCAATACTCTGCTGAAGCATCGTGTTTGCCAGGCGAGCATCCAATTTCTACATGCGCAAAGTAGCTCGCGATATATCGAAAAGAACGGATTTGAAATAAACAATAATAGTCAATTGCTTTGCAGCAGTAGATGTATCCATCAATTCATCCAAAACAGATCTTGCAAACTACAGTATGTCCTATATCCTAGATTATACTACAAGTGACTTGTTCGTATGGATATCGAAATTGGACAATATGTACGCGCATAGTATGGAACTAAGCCTATCTCATCTCAATGCACTAGCCAATCAGACGTTGGCAGCTATACGTTCTTTGCAGGTATTACATCACACTACCTCTACAGTATTGACTCTTGAGTCTTAACTATGCTGTCGGCACTTGTGAGGATTCGCTTTCGTATACTGTACTCATTCTCGTCGCTCTTCTCATCTTGCTCCTCAAGAAAAATCGATTTTACTGATCTTGTGTATCTCAACTCTTTGCTAGACCACAAGAAACAACTACACGGTACACAATTATCCATTTTACTTTGATCAACTACAGCTGTGCCTATTCTATTGTACAATATGGTACGTAGAAGAGTATACTGTACAATGCTACTACTGCCGCGTACAACTCATGCTGGTTTACTACACTCATGTCTATCATGTGTACTGTGCAATTAAGCGTGCACTCCTTCTACGAGGCCGCGTATTGATGATGTCATCTGGACACAATTTGCAAATCTAGTGCTGCTGTATTACTTTAAAGGCTTTCCTTTGCAGAGAGTAATCCATCGACTTGAGTACAATACTGCAACTTATCTATTGATACTACTGTACAAGAAAAAATGATTCCCTGTCCAATTTGACGGGTACCAAGGTAGAAGTCAATGTTGACCGTTTTATTCCCACGTTGCCTTAGCTCCCAAGAAAAGGCGATCCCGATGTTTGCAATCCAATGACAGAACACACTCAATAGCATCCTGATGCATTGCTATTCTGCAACAATGTACACAGTCATCAAGTAGCAGTTAAGTCATATCCAGCCTATTTATCCTTGTACAGCATATTCTAATAATTGATTATTAGAATTACTATTGATGACAACTGCAAATGAATTTGGATATCAGATTCCCTGTCCAATTTGACGGGTACCAAGATAGAAGTCAATGTTGACCGTTTTATTCCCACGTTGCCTTAGCTCCCAAAAAAGGCGATCCCGATGTTTGCAATCCAATGACAGAACACACTCAATAGCATCCTGATGCATTGCTATTCTGCAACAATGTACACAGTCATCAAGTAGCAGTTAAGTCATATCCAGCCTATTTATCCTTGTACAGCATATTCTAATAATTGATTATTAGAATTACTATTGATGACAACTGCAAATGAATTTGGATATCAGATTCCCTGTCCAATTTGACGGGTACCAAGATAGAAGTCAATGTTGAGAGCTTTAAGTCATATCCAGCCTATTTATCCTTGTACAGCATATTCTAATAATCAATTATTAGAATTACTATTAATGACAACTGCAAATGAATTTGGATATCAGCTGACGACTTGACCCCGCATCGTATGACATTCAATACAATGCGACGCCTGAGTCATGCCTACCTACCTACAGTACTGTACTACTGCCGATGATTGTGCCACCCACTACAGTACTGTATCGACGCAGTCTATTTTCATTCATTGGAATGGTAGCGTCCGTGTCTGCAGTACTGTACACTATTGCGCAGTAGAAAAAATTGTTCTCTGTCGGCATACTGTAGAGTACAGTCGACCAGAGACCCTTTAAAGAGAACTGTACTGTACTGAGGGTGTCTGACAAGTCTTTCCCACTATTTAAACTTGTATGAAATTCTAATTTCAAGTCCTTTTTAGATAAATTTGCTATCATTTGATTGGAAAGAAGATGCTTGATGCAAATATGCAATTTCAATTTACAGTGTTTGATTGTGCATAGTGACACTTGTGTACTGTACTGTACGTACAGTGTACAGTCATGGACTACAGTACTGTGTACTGTAGTCTATCCGGTCTGGTCCGGTCCGGCCTAGGACTTGAATTTCTCTTTCGTTCACTGATCTACTGTGTCATTATTTTCGATGGCACCCTGAAAACATAGAATTATAGAAGCTAAGTCAGGCCCAAACGAGATAAGTTCTATATTTGGTTGTAGCCTAAGAATTCTATGGGTATATATAAATACTATATACAGGAATTTCAACGGAATACAACTTTGATTTTTTAACCAAGAGGAGACATTGAAAATAATCAGATTGTACTGCACAGTATACACACTGCACTCTACCATAATCCATATGCTGTACTGTACAGTACTGTATTAGTAGCCTGTCTTACGACATGGACCACCCTACAGTATGCAGTATGGACTGTACTGGACGGACACACCGTCGTGTTCTACAATGGACTGAAACGTCACCTTTCAGTCTCATTCCGTACCGTACCCGGTCCGGTCTTGCATCATAGGATGTAAATCGCGCTTGCAGAAAGCGTAACTGACTGACAGACACCAGGATGAGTGGACTTTGGAAGACTGTGACTAGGAAAGAAAGAAAACTAACTGTGACCACAGGCCCCGCTAGCATACAGACGAGTATTACCTGAAAGCAATCGTTGCTCAATTATTGGAAAAAAGTGCCTGCCAAATCCACTCCTTATTCGTCATTATGGCAGTCATGGACGACTACACTCTTTAAGCCTCACACTAGGTGCAAATTCTAGTCGAGTGGATTATAAATCAAATTTCCTTCGGTGAAGAGAATCAACTGGAAGCTGTCGTCGCACTGGACTAGAGTAGACTGTCTCAGTCAAGTTATGAAAAGTAGTGGAGTCAAGAAAATGGTGGATTCATGACTTCGACCCATTCTTCCTCCAACTCTTCACCTTTATTTCACAAATCGTTGTTTGGCCTTCTATTTCTTACGATCATGCTCATTATTAATACCATACGTCATCTATGCCGACGTCAAATATCCAAAATATACTATTACCATGGTCTGCTGTGCGCCAAATATTCAAAGACGGTCCTCTGCATAACAATATTCATTGTATTGCTTTGTAGGTAAGGAAATGTTGTCCATCTCCATCCATGATTCAATCATCATCATCTAACATTACTAAGCCACAACGTCAATAATTCTTGCATTGATTTCCATACCAGTTAACAAGTTGTCCTTTGCAAGTTATTTGCACCACCAAATACACTGACATCACGGTGGAAGCAGCTTCATGTCGCAGGCTGCACCATCATAGTCAATAATATTCAAATGTCGATACGCTTATAAAAAGTGTCATCAACATGCGTCCACTGCACTGTATTGCTACCCGTACAATACCGCCGTCAACCACCTTTTATTAGACTACAGACCATAATTCAATTTCAAAGTGTGTTTGGCCTGTAGAGCAATACAATGATATGATTATTTTACGTGTTATGAGATATGCTTGCACAACAAGAAACAACTTTTTCTTTTTCTTGCTATTAGTTCACCGCTACTCAATCGCCAAACTGTCAGTGCTAATGAACAGGAACGTACCTTCACCACTAATCTAAGCTTGTATAAAGAAAAAGAAGGCACCTTTTCCAAGGATGGTGTTAAATATCCAAAATGGGTAAGAGATACTACTACTGTACACAAATAGCATTCGTCGGTGTAAACAAAACCCCAAGACTTTTCCAGTCAGTTAGCATGGAGTAGAAACACAAAGCCTGATACATCGTTTAAACCTATTACTACATTATAGATTGTATTGATTTGATAAAGTCCGAAGAAATAGTTCATTGTTGTTATTATTAGATACGATGACGACATCAATTTCAAGGTTAATATCTTACCTTAGAATAGTCTACTTGTGCTGCCTAGTCAAATGTTATTGATACTTGTCATCAATGTTGACAGCAAGTATCCATAATATACAGCCGATGTTGCCGTCTGTTAAAGCCTGTCTACAATCGTATCGTGGCAGCATCTGTAGTGATGCAAGCGATTAGAACAAATTAAAAATAGTTACTTTTGTACTTTTGAACATCAGGAGAGAGAGAGATTACTTTAACTTATTACTGATGTATAGAGCTTAGGATAGCTAACCTTATCCACTCACTGTGGAAATTTCTTAAAATGATTGCTATTTTTCCTATGTATTGACCTAAAAGTTTACTGGCAAGCCTGTACTATACATACAAAGATATATCATGGAAATTTATTATGACGATGTCAAGTCGAAACTGTGGACTGAAGAAGAAATGAACAAAAAGACGTTACTTCATTCCTTTTATCTGGTCGATAACATTACAAATTTTAAAAGGTATCTATCCTCTTAACTATTCACTGTATTGACATATATTTTGGACAACTATTCCTATGCGTCAATAAATTATACAATTACAGAAGCGCTTGATAGCTTCCAAAATCTTATTGACAATCATGTAGTAATCTTCACATTTCACATACAAAATTTCTATACTTTCTACCTACCCCTACAATACCTTCAAGCTCTTAACAATGTATTTCTTCCTTTTGATGTAGTTTATCTGGGAAGAAAATAGGCAATTTCTGCTTTAAGGCTAAAGGACATAAAACTTTATTTTCATCATCGATCAATGACTGTATTATAGCTGCACCTACTAACTTTTGGCCGAACCTATCCAGGTAATGAAATCATCGCTTATAAACAATATTTATTCTACTGATTACCACATAGTCATGCTATCTTGAAGTCAATATTCTCTAACTTATATTAACCACCTTTGATATATTTTAGCTTTAACAGTGATAAGAATGTAATTGAAAGGATTATAGAACATAGCAATGCCGGTAAAAATGGTTTAGCAATAAATCTAAGATAGATACTGAAATTAATATCATATACTGTATATACCAGCTAGAGTTAGCATTGCTAATTGTAGTATCGTTGCAGTAATTAACTTGGCAATGGAAAGCATTTTGTACTAAAATGAAATAGGTAGCTTGAGTTAAAATAAATATGGACTATACGAATATTTGTTCTCTCTATTTGAAAGATCTGCTCATTGGGGTACCAGTATTGGCTAGTGGTTTTCAGCAACAGACTGTTCCCGGAAATTATGTCAAGCGAATTTTTTCTGTTTCTGTAGTAATGTCATCCTTCGAGAATAGGTAATCTTAATCAAAATTTGAGGCTGCGCATCCAATAAATTTTAGTTCTTTCTTGGTACAGCAATGGCCAGATACACATGAAATTTTATGACATTATACCATCTATCTTTTATTTTTATCCCTTTAGATTTTTAAAAGAATTACATGAATATCTAGGAAAATTTTATTATAGAGATTTCAACGTTTCCCATAACTTTGGGCTTGCTAGTAGCACGCATATTCAACATATTTACTACTCAGTAAGAACAGCTTATTATCGTCGCGACTACGATTTCTTTTCTATCTTGAATTCTCTAAGATAGATATTGATCAAGTATCAATATACCTTCAAGTTATCAATTGTGTTGATGCTAAAAGTAATTATTTTTATACATTGCAGGAAGCATCGGGTATTTTGGAGTTGCTACCATTACTGTTAACGCACGTAATCGTTTTTCTATACATTGCCTTTTCCGTTGGTAAGACTATTCGACATGAATGAACACATAAATTTTACCCCAAGTATTCATACAAGGACAATTTGACTTTGTTGTAGCAAAAATTGAAATGGTACGATCAAAGTGGGCACTAGCTTTCAGCGCTGTATGTACTATATTTGCCGCTTTGACCATGCCGCTAGGCATTAGCACTTATCTACAATTGGATAGTACTCTTCAGAATCGGTTAGTTCGTTTTACTTATATATTTATTCATCCTTTCTTAATTTACATTCCTATCATGTCGTCCTTATTATATTACCTTTACATTCGGTATGATATAGAGAAATCTATCCGTATATTATCATCATTATTGGCTTAGAGAATATCTTAATCATTACAAAGTCTGTAGTATCTACACCTATGGATTTGGAAGTTCGGGAAAGGATTGCAGAAGGTAGTAATATTGATCACATTAATATACCTCTTCATAATCCCAAATCGTATACAATTTGAAACTTATGCTTTCCTAGGGCTCAGCAAAGAAGGTTGGTCTATTTGGAAAACATTTTTCTTCGAAGTCATTACCTTATTAGCTGGCTATTTTATCAATGTTCCTGCTATTCAGGTTGTATAAGTGACAATCTCATACATGCATCTAGTTTCTGCTCAATATTATTTGTTGACTTGATACTAATGATAGATTATTACCTTCTAGGAATTTTGTGTTTTTGCTTCTGTTGCTGTTATATCAGAGTACTTTCTACAAATGTTTTTTTTCGTCCCTGTCCTTGCTATCGAAATTAGAAGAATTGAGGTAATATTGGATGTGATTATCTCGTATATAACAATTTGTTCATTAAGAAATATTGGAGGTTTCTAAATTGCTAAATTCTGCTTCAGTTGACAGATTTAAATAAGCAAAATATCAGAAAAGAAGATGCTTTAAGTATGTGCAGTAAATCAGACAATAGTAAAGCATTAATATAGTGCAATTCTGCATGACATAATCACTAGTTTTACTTGTATTTTTAAATAATGTGGGTCACTATAAATTGACGTTCCAGGTGAAGGTGAAGTAGAGGAACAGCCCATTAAATCTATTGATGAAACGTTTCAAAGTAAAGGCTCCGATGAAAATTTCATGTCTCCATCATTTACAAGACAAGCTAAAATGCCGAAACGTCTTGCATTTGCCTTTAGTTTTTGGGCAAGAACGCGCATCGTTCAAAGAGTATTACTGGTAATCAATTTTAGCATTTAAGTTAATATATCCCTCTTTTATAATTACTTCTTATTTACCTCCCGATTTTGTTTCTCCTTGCTATCAGCTATGCATGATTGGATACATTTTATATGTAATTACTTACATTGTATTCCCATCAATGGCTCCAAATGGGTCTGGCAATGTACAGAGAGTCAGTGTAGAATCCCCTCACTTTTTTAGTAACATGGAAGTGGAGAGCGAAAGCAGGCTCTTGTGGAAAATTGGCTTGAAAATACAAAGATCAGTTCGAAACATTGTTGCAACGGAATCATCGGAGGCTTCGTCAACTACTTCTCAGCTGCCTTGGGAAGCTTGGTACCGCCTGTTAAGTCTTAATAACTATCATCTGGCTGGTATGCACATTGGGCTATTGTCACCTGTAGTATTAAAACGTGAATATAGTTCGAAACCTGGGCGAATGTCGGTTGATGTAATGAATTTAACAAAACAGGAAGATATATCTGTAATATCGATTGATGGCGTATATTTAGTTTTTGCGGTGCTAATATTATTCATTATAATCTGCTATACATTGACGGTACTCATGAAATACTTATTGCCAACAACTAGAGATATATTATTGTGGTTTATCCGTATGTGCCAGCCTCCTCAGTATCGTACCACTATAGCAGATAATGCCCCCATCATACTTAGAGGCCATGGGCAAGACATAGAATGTTTAGATTCTAATGGTTCCACCCTTGTTACTTCTTGTCTTGAAGGCAAAGTGATTGCGTGGAACGTTATCACTGGTGAACAATATTGCATATTACGAAGGAATGAAATATTGCCTCTACCTCGCCCAAGAATGGACAGACTTCGAAATCATTATGATGATAGCTTATTAGGCATGCCAGTCAGAGGGAACGCTAGAATGTATGGGTACATGCAAGGCGAAATTGCACCAGCTCATTTAGGGATGACTGGAAGTCAGTCAACTTACTTCGGTGATGTAGCTAGGTCTCCGGTTTCACCAATGTACAAAACACATCGGAGATCAAGAAGCGACGAAGTGAATTCACGAACAATAGTAGAAAGTACCTTCGCAACCAGTATGCGCCCAGTTAGTGTTGCTCAACGTTTAGAAGAGAATTTTGGCAAGGGTACAATACGACAGCGACGTTCAGATTTATCAGTTTTACCAGATGGACAGCCCTTGTCCAGCGTCGGTAATACTATAACCAGTGAACCATAGTAAAATTTTAGAAATTCGTGTAGTTTTGTTAGGGCTATTTTATGAGAAACAGTTTACAATTATAATTATTATTATACATTAATTTTAATTTATCTAGACGGATATGTATCTAGCAAAAATATTCTTAAGGAGCACGAAAGGTAAGCGAGATTAATTACATTTATTTGTTGTATTATGCTAATACAAAATGAGTTGTGCCTTATCATTTTGACACTTGTTAAACCTTACACATTACAGCTACAATAAAAGATCTCTAGCAGAAAATTATTTCCAAAATCTTTACGATTCTTCATCTAATGCCGCAATTTGGTGCCTTTTATGCCATGATAATATTATAATAATCGGTTGCTGTGATGGGAGTGTTGAGGTATTGCATAAGAAATGATTAAGGTAAATTATCATGATTAACTCAGTAGAAATCAAGTATGTATTTTTTATATTAAGGTTTGGGATATCCAGTCCAATTATCGGTTATGTTGCTACAGAGGATGTTCTTCTGGCGTAACATGCTTATCGGCCATTAAAAACAGGTAAGAAAGGTTTTTTTGTAATGGTTATGAAATCATTTTAATACTAATTTATGCAAATTATAGAATCTTTGTGGGACGTTCTTACGGAAGAATAGATATATTACAAATATCTACTTTTAAACCTTATGGTGGTTCCAGTAATAATTATGGAAATGATAACCCTCAGCTGCCACAATTAGCCAGTATAAATCTATTGTGTACGAAGAAATGGCATCACGAGACGTTAAATACAATAAAAATAGCAAAAGAGTTCGCCATCACTGCTAGCCAAGATAAAACTATAAAAGTAAGTCAGGACGATATTAAATATCAAGTGAACGCTATTAGAATGTTATAAACAACTAACATATCATGGATTACTTTCAAGGTTATGCGTTTGAGTGACTATGGTTGTACATACACTTTGCATGGCCATTCTGATAGTGTTTCATGTCTCAATGTTGATTTAGTAAGCAAGCATCGTTTATTTAATGATATAAGGATCATAATAACGTGACCATAACTGAATATAATGTGATGTTTTTTTGTATTAACTTTATGTTAGAGTGCTGGTTTCTTTTGTGTTAGCGGATCTGCTGATTGTAGTTTGAGAGTCTGGGATCTAAGCAATGGTAGTTGTGTGCATCACCTAAGTGAGGAACACACGACTGCAATTACAGTGCTAGAATGTAATCATAAATATGCGGTGAGCATTAGCATTGACAATGTACTCTGCATATGGAAGTATCGTGCCGGTGTTTGTATACATCGTATTGTACAGGTATGACAATGGTCAAGAATTAACTTAGCTTAGAAGATATTAAACTTTGAAGTCAATTTGCTTTATTTCTGTAGTCAAACAACATTATTGGTGGTATTGCCCTCTTATCGAGTGCATTAATGGTTACTGGTAGTCAGGTACACTTTCAATTTATTAATACGATGATTATTTGCCCACGTTGATAGTTATATTTGATGGCTAAAGCCTCGGTGGTATTATTCTTGTCTTATAAATAGGGTTGTATAGTAGTCTGGAACGTTAGAAGTGGTCGTGTAATGCGAACCATTACACTTGGAGAATATGATTGCTCGAACTTTGTCAGTCATATGCAAAAGATCGACAATACAACAGTAGCATGTAGTTATGGAAATGAAATGTACATTATTAGTTTCTCTTCAGTTGTAGAGAAGAAAGATTAAAACAACGTATAAAATTTCATCGTTACTGTACTGAAATAATACCATTACTTGCCAGTAGAATCTATCGTGTACATTGACTATATTGTATGTATTATACTGTATTATTCGACAACGCAAATGCGGTATATCCCTCCTTTTATACTGTATTAATTCGCTACGCTGTAATCACATTCATGCATCGAATCTCAGTACTCTTGTAAGTACTGTATTATAAAATCGTTTTTAAATTGTCTTTAGTTGGCTTGTACTGTACACTTGGTCTAATACTGATTAACTGCACACCAATGTAACAGTACAATATTTATTAAATAGTCGTCTAGTTTTTCGTCTTACTCCTTGTCGTCCGATTTTGTTGCATATAAGTAATATATAATTGGCAAAAATCTCTTTAACAAACTCATAAATTTTTGTATATTATGATATTACTGGCATATTTATGCAAGAAAAATTTTTTCTAAATATTGAATATGGAGTACGAGCATGTAATTTGTTTTATTATTAACAATAAATCCGCGAAAGCTTTCATATTAAAAGGTGTGTATACAGTACAAGTGGCATGCACTGTATAGGCTAGTGTGCATCTTATTATCAATATACTGTTATATCATGGACTACTAACTAGATGCACCTACTCGTATACGGTCTATTAGTAGTCTACGTAATATATAATTGATCTAAGAACGTTGAAATATAGAATCAGAACATACTTATTTAAACTATTTGATAAATTATCACTATATTCTTATTGAGACTAGCACTTCAAGAACCAGCAAATATATCGCAATGGAATTTTATCAGATAAAATTAACCAAGTATTTCGTAATTTTTTGCTATTTACGGAATGCAGTACTTGCATTCCTAATGGTTTTGTACGAGACCGATTTCTTAAGGGCATTATAAACTTTTGAGCGAAAATCCGATGAAACAAGCCATTTTAACATGATGTTATAACTGCTTAGAAGTAGCTATTTCTTGCCATTTATATCTACAGGCAAAACGGCCTATTTCATAATTTAGCTATCTTGATATGGTCTATTCTTGCACATTTGTACAGAAGCTATAGCTTCGCACTCTTTGATTATGCGATATCATTGTGATTTGTTTGAACGTTTTAATGGTAGGAAAAGTATAATGTTCTAGTATAGTTGCATACAGTACTGTCGACGACTTCTGTGAAAATATTGCTAATGAAAGTTCCTCAAATTTGGTGTTTACGCCCTTAATACTTACTAACGAAGTAAGAAGTCGATTTCACTCTTTATCCATATAATGTCTTTTGGTTGGATAATAATATACCATAGTAGATTAATTAATTTTAATGACATAATTATCAGCATGTTTCTTTCCGTAATGTCACAGTCATTTCGTCACTTTGATCATTATAACTTGTGTTATGTATTATTATTATGTTCGATATTAATAGTAGAATAATTAAAATAAAATTGCAGACACATAATGTCGAATGTATTTTTATTGATTGATTTGCAACGTTCACAACACTGCTCATAGTATGTAGTATAATCAAGTGATTATTCCACTAGACAGAGTTAACACATACTGTACTGCAAATAAATACTTTTATACGTATATACGTGTATAATGAATCTGCAGCTTAAGTTTTTGGTAGACGAATACACGAGAATACATATTTACTACCAATTTCTACAGCTGTATAGACGAGTAAGTTTAAAGTATAAAGGATTGATAAAGTTGCATTAATGGAATGATAAAATGACGATGAGACAGAAAATAAGTTATATAGAGTATTAGCCTACCATTGGAAGGCAAGAAAAGCTACGTGTAATGCACGATAGCTCGTAAAACTGGATATAAAGTAGATTACCACTTGAATAACGATCGACCACCAATTGATTGATTAATCAGTGATGTGAGAACGAAGTAGGATACCCTAGAAACTACCAGTCACAATGTGAATAGATAATTTACGCAAATGAAAATAAAACTTTTACAAGATACAATGTTGGCCATATGAATATAATACAAATGAATCACCAATCACTTCCTTCAACCCAGGGATTTTCAGTAATAAATGCTTCAAGCACATCTTTCATCGATAAATTCGATATCAATTGTGAGGGGACTAATTCACTCCGAGTTACTGGATCGAAATGACCAACTCTTAGTAAATGTTCTTCTATATCTTTACGATCGTATGTAATGCCACTAGGGGTAATCACCGGATCCTTCATTAAATCGAAACTGATTTTACCGCACAGATAGTCTGGCACCTCTCGTTTCTGATGTTTTTCATCTACTTTACGAAAGATATTTTCCAATTGATCGGAATAACTATCGTACATCTTGTTTACATCAGCTACAGCGACAGAATCATCCGATTTGCAATTTTTAATCTTTCTTTCTTTATCATCGAACATTAATTTTTTTAAATAGGCATATAAATCACTTTGTGCTCGGATGCGTTTCTGCTCTAATTCATTCCAACGCTTCCGTTTAGCCATTCTTAGAATATTGGTGATATCATCACCGACATTAAATTTCTGTTGGCGTGCTAATTGGAAAGCTTTTTTCAATGCGTTGACCGCTTCATCATATTTACCCTGTTCATATAAAGCTTGTCCCAAAAAGTAGTAGCCTTTAACACAACTAGCATCGATCTCAATAGCACGTCGACTATCGCTAGCGACATTATCATATTTTTTAAGTTTGAGGTAACACAACGCTCTGTTATTATAATAAGTTGGTACGCTAGCATTTTTCTTGATAGCATTGGTATAGCATTCGATGGCTTGAGGGAATTGCTTATTATGAAAGTACATATTACCTTGACGTTTAAAATCTTCATCGCTTGTCGTTGCCATTTTTCTTGGTGTTGATTTGAAGATACGGGTGCACTTTCAGCTTCCAATGCAGTCTTAAAATAAGAATAATTTTCTTTCAATCCTACCTGATTTGGCTTGATGATATTATTTCCAACTGATTGCTAGATCTTACGATTTTATCGTCTTGATTATTTACTCGTATGTAGTCTATATGGTTCTACAACAGTACAGTATAACCGCAAAGCCCATTAAATTGACCTTCTATAACATCAACAGCGGAATGTTTCCAGTAAATTCTACCCAAATTGACGACGATACAATAGTAAGTAGCTTTGATTTTCAATCCTCCATTAACATTTAATTGGTGCTACTACTACTCGTTGGACAGCTACACTTCTACTTTGCTTACTACCCACTTAATTGCAGAGATAGCCACAGTCTAGGATTTCTAACTGCTTTCGATGCCAATCATGTTCAATCTCTTTCACACTGTCACTTTTCAGTCTCTTTTTTTTTTGCTTTCAGTCAATCCAAGAAAAGTCCTTTCGATCTTCTCAACAACAAGATCACCAGGAGACTCCTATACACTATATGGTACAATGGTTGATTTGGCCAAATACCGACTACAAGAAAGGGAAAGGATTCTTTTCCTGTCGACGATCTGTCATATAGAACAACTTCGTGCTTGAAAAAGCGTCGAAAAGTAGAGGCAGTTGGTCGAAGTAATCTTGTCTACGTGCATCAGTATTCACTATATAGCAATGGACTGTATGCTACACGAGATAGTCGCTCTAATCCGGTACGCTGCGTGTTATGTTGCCCTGCCTACGTGATCATATTGTGCCTATTCGCCTTTATACACTTTGTCAAGTCTAATACTGTACCTCACAAAATGGCCTGTTTTTGCTGGAAAAATACTACTAGATTTGCATTTAGCAACTCCTGTCCTTTATAGCAGTTTTATACGGAGACTTTACATCACAAAATGGCCTGCTTTTGCTAGAAAAGGACTACTGGATTTGCATTTAGCAACTCCTGTCCTTTATAGCAGCTTTATACAGATACTTTACATCACAAAATGGCCTGCTTTTGCTAGAAAAGGACTACTGGATTTGCATTTAGCAACCCCTGTCCTTTATAGCAGTTTTATACAGATACTTTACATCACAAAATGGCCTGCTTTTACTGGAAAAGGACTACTAGATTGGCATTCAGCAATCCCTGTCCTTTACAGCAGTTCATACAGATACTTTACATCACAAAATGACCCGCTTACTAGAAAGGGACTACTGTATTTGCATTTAGCAGGCCCTGTCCTTTATGACAGTTTTATACGCATACTTTACATCACATTAGCAGGCCCTATCCTTTATGGCAGTTTCATGATATGTATATGCATTATATCAATCAAATATGGGTGTATATGTTATGGTCAATCCTAGGATTGTCTTTACAATTTTGGAGATTAAAACTAAATCTAACCAAACCTCCGTTAGTCCATTCTAGTACAGATACTTTACCTCACAAAATGATATGCTTGCTGGAAAAGGACTGCTGTACTGTACTTTGCATTTAGCAGGACCTGTCCTTTATGACAATTTCATGATATGTATGTGCATTATATCAATCAATTATGGGTGTATATAGTATGGTCAATCCTAGGATTATCTTTACTATGCTATTTTTTGGATTAAAACTAAACCTAACCAATCCTCAGCTAGTCCATCCTAGTACAGATACTCTACCTTTAGACTGCTAGATAAGGTGTTATGCACTGTTATGGTCAAACCTAGGATTGTCTGTACTATTTTGGGGGGATTAAAACTAAACCTTACTATTCGCCACCAGCCCCTAACCCCAACAAAATACAGTACGAGATATGTCCAATCTTGTAGAGAAACGACGAGTAAAAGATATGCTAACGATCAACTTAACCATCATTACAGAGCTTTCGATGATTGTAATTCATTTCTACCGACATGGCTTTAATACTTTTAAGCTTGCTACTACTGATACATCCATAATTTAATACAGAATCGATAACGGATCACTATAGTATACTCGGAAATCATGGGTTATTCGTAAATTGTAAAGCACAATCGTTTACGTTATACCAACTTTTACCTACAGTACATGATATATGATCGATCACTATACCATGGACTATAGTCACCATCACTTGCGATTCCCAAACTGTAATAAAGGAGAATAGTTTATATTGTGCCGACTTTATCAAATCATTGTATAGTAATAATTAATTCATATCCGATATCATCCACCTCTACAATAATAATTGGTTCATGGCTAGTTCAAATTTAATATAATACAATACTATGCAGTAATATTATGTAAATAACAGAAAAGATCGAATCTACAACTATCCACTATACGCGTAATCACTCGAAATGACCCAATCCCAAGAGGTGCATCGATGAAGAAATGCATACTGACCGATAAGCTTTTATCTCCACAGTACAGTATATCATGCACGGATAATATTACATCATGAATTGATGCTATGAGCAAAAAGATATATCCTATTAACGCGTATACGCTCACATATAGTTTTGCGTAGTGCTGACATTTATATCCGTTCAACTAATCTGCAGCTTTCCTTTCTGATGTTTGCATTAAATGATAACAGAACAGCAACTGCTTCACAAGCCGCAAATAGACCTAGCAGTGCAAGAAATACTCTTTTAACTTGATATAAAAATAAACATCCCGATAGCGTACAGTGATAATAGAATAGGACCTATTTAATAAGCTGTAAAGAAACAGTGCAAGAAATACTCCTTTAACTTAATATATAAGTGGACATTGCGATAGCGTACAGCTTAGTAACAGTTATATCAGAAAAATTATATTACGTTATTTTAACGTAAATTAAAAGCAAACCGGCTTGTAAGAATACCCTTACAACACAGGAAAAAAGCATTAGACAAGGAATGATTACATTTTTTGACCAGTTATCCTCTTAGCCATTACTTTTATATGAGTTAAATCGCAAAAGGGTTTGTTCTGAGTATGCTTACAACAGCATAAAAAGCGTTTACCGGTCTTTTCCACCGTAAACTTGATTGGTTTAAAGCTGGTGCCCTTGTGTTTACCATCACAAAATGGCTAGATTAGAAAATAGAATTATCCGTGTAAACATCACAAGAGATGATAATCAGTAAGGCATTCCATAATGCACTTTTAATCTATTTTAGTATTATATTGCGATCTAACGTACAGTAGTACATTCATAATACATTCAACATCATCGGGTATACTACAGACATACTAAAGACTTCATTAAAACTAGCTTTCCAAATAATTGCTAACATGTCCAAAACCATCTATATTTATACATTTAAGCTAGATCTTCCTAAAGTCTAAGATAAAGACAATGAACGATTTATACCTGCTTCGTACTCCGTCCACATACGCACCAGAAGTAATTTTTACCTTCTTCCAGCAAAACCCTTTTTGGTATTAATGAAGCGGAAATTACTTCAGTTGAATTTAAGCGGCATAACCGATGAGAAATCTGTCAAGAACATCAAGGTAAGCGTAAGTGTGAATAACGAATGCCTTAATTTCCTTTACTTCTTGTATCAGAAAATAGCGTCATTATTAATTGCAAATATGTCTCATTAACTATCCAATAGGCTAATATTATCAAATCAACAAAATCATTTGATAAAGTTGTCATTTCATATTGCTGTTGAGCCATCACATGTATGTTTGCCGACAGCTACAGTAATTTGGTCATAATTGCGATTTTAAACCTATTAATCCACTAATTGATATACGTGTAAGGTAGACGTTTATTTACAGCCGCGTCAGAAAGATCTTAAAATAAATATAAATAAGATAGAAAAAATATATTGCGCAACATGTAATGATATTATTAGTCAATATGCATATACAGTACACACAGCTCTATCCATGGTATATTACAATACAAGTATCGATGACGGTAATTATTTATTTCTGTGCACGCAGGTTCACTCAGTGGAAATAATATTACCATCCTAACCGGAGATTGGTAATACTTGCCACGTTATACTATCAGCAAATGACAATCGACGATAAGTTGATAATTTTAAAATCAATCTACCATTTCAATACACTGTATACGTACAACAACATTGAGAGTGCTGTCCATAGCAAAAAAACATAGTCAATATTAGGATGGTTCATCGAAATTGCAAAGTTATAGTATTGAGGCTGTTAGTGACTTTTGCAATTTGTGGTAATCATGGCTACAGAGTACAAAGTGCAAATATGTACATTTTGCAGCCAATGTCCGAAATTATATATGTATTGAGGCTGTTAGTGACTTTTGCAATTTGTGGTAATCATGGCTACAGAGTACAAAGTGCAAATATGTACATTTTTGCAGCCAATGTCCGAAATTATATATATATACAGTACAATATTTCAGCCATGAGGATCTCCATGGCTCAAAATGGTTGCAACAGTTATTAAGAATTTAACTTGTATCGTATTATGCATACAATGTACAAATACAATTGAATGTATGTAACTGATCATTTATAAGATATACAGTAGAGTTACAGCTTATTCAGTAGCAGCTCTAATCTATCAGGTATGTACTATGTACATGCATGCTGTAATTATTAATTGGCTATCCTAATTGGAGGTTCAAGTAAGCAGTTGCGAGTTAGGCAATTACCTGCAATATTCTACATCTAAACATGTCCATACAGTTACAGTAATCTATCGTAACTTGTACTGTCCTCTAATTTGATAATGCAGTACTTACAAGGTTTACCCGTATGCGAGCATGATGAAATAGAGTTATCATTGTGAGCTTCTAGCTTAACTTGATATCCTGCTAATTAGAATAATGATCACCAACGCTTGAACTGGGCACAAAGTAGAATGACTGCCGGCAACTAAGCAAATTCTTGTGCTGTAGACTTGCAAGTAGTAAAGGACTTGGAAGAGGAATTCTATTGCTGTACTATGGGAGCTTGAGCAGTTTTTGATTCATACTGTACTGTATACAGAATCGTAGCCACCTGACTCAGACGGCCGGACATTTCGGCTCTATCTTGTAGAATATTGTTGCAAACACCTCCTACTCGCCATAATGGCATCAAGCGAATGCTCGATTTTGTAATTGACTTATTTTTCTAAATTAAATAATATTACATTGAAATCTATTCTATTTTACTAATTTCTACTGCAAAGTAGTTATATAAGATCCTAAATTTTTTAAATTAGTAGACGTGATTAAGAAAAATAGACACTGAAAATCCATACGAAGTAAGTGATTTTGGGAGATTTCAGCCTCATTTCGTATAAAAACTCTGTCCATCCGACACAGTCGTATCGAGTCCTTCCAGTCGTCCAGGACGGAAAAATCCATACAAAGTAAGTGATTTTGAGAGATTTCAGCCTCATTTCGTATACAAAGTCTGTCCATCCGATACAGTCGTATCGAGTCCTTCCAGTCGTCCAGGACGGACTTGAAAATCCATACGAAGTAATTGATTTTGAGAGATTTCAGCCTCATTTCGTATACAAAGTCTGTCCATCCGATGCAGTCTGTCGAGTCCTTCCAGTCGTCCAGGATGGACTTGACTACAGTACACCGAGTACAGTACAGTAGTGCAGTACAAACAGTATTTTGCAAGGTACTGTACTGTATAGTACTGTACTCATTTGTTTACTCTTTAGCCGGAGACAGATGCTAGTGCTGCTAGCCTGCCACCAAAACTAAAATAGGGTAGAGCAGAAAGTAGCCATAAAGTAGCCGTTTACGGCAATAAAAAGATAATAATAATAGCGATATTACTATTATGACCATGATTAGCTAATTCAAGGCCAAATTTCAGAAAAGTTACAGATAGTAAGGGTTAAAATGACCACCAGAGTAACAGAGTGTACAGTGTACAGTACTCAAAGTACACTATGTACTGTGTACTCTGCAAGAACGGCCGAAGCAAGATCGGTCAAGCGTTTGATTGCCTAGCAACCAGTGACAACAGTTCCCTAGCAACATGGACTGTTAACAAGTAAAATACAGTAATTGAATATTGAGGTACATAGGCCTTCGAGAAGACACTAAATTCATAACCTTGCCATCTCGACGTAGCGTATACAGTAGTACGCTATCAAAAATCCATATCCTTTCATTTTCCTTTGATAAAATAGATTGGCGATAGCTAAAGAAAGAGAAGCTAAATTAAAAGCTAACCAATAAGAAAAACAATCTATCGACGCACCAACATGAGTACAAGACAAATCCTACAAGGTATAAACTAATTAAATCACTAGCTGAATGAATATTACAGTGTCAAATAATCAACGATAGCAAAGGCTATAATTACATTGGGTAGCGAATCGCGTTTCTCCTCATAAGAAATGCCTCGATACTTTGCTAGCGCGATAACGTCTATCTGCAAGATCGATCGATTGATATGAAGCGAATATATTTCTTCGTCTATTCTTGACGTGAATGATATGGATTACTTTTCCATATTTTCAAATACTTTAACTTTCAAACTTTCATCGAGTACTCAAATCCTTTAGATTCATCGGTGTATCAACACCCATCCAAGAATTATTGCCGTTTCTATGATAGAATGAATTTTCTTATAATCCTATTTATTTTTCTCCTGCAGTTTTTGAGCAATATCAGAAAGCTAGAACAACTTTCGTACAAACAGTCGCAGAACTATCATCTCGGCCACAAAATATCGAAATTTTACAAAATGCTGGTAAGTAGCTATACAATAAATCATAATCTATTCAGCCTTAATTGACTTTATAAACTATACCTGTTATAACTTAACATCAATAAAAACTGAACCCATACGAAATAATATCATCTCTCTTGCTTAACTAAAATAGCCAAACTTGATAATAAACCTTCATTCAAGCAAAAGTAACATGAATATATTTTGTTATTCTCATTTCTTTCGCGTTTTTACTCTTTGAATTTTAACCCTCAAAATTAAGGTGTAATGTCTTTACTTCGCCCACTATTATTGGATATCGTTCCTACAATTCAACAAACCGCTGCTTTGGCTTTAGGACGTCTAGCTAATTATAATGATGATCTAGCTATGGCTGTCGTGAAAGGAGATATTTTACCGCAACTGGTATACTCCTTAGCGGAGCAAAATGTAAGCTTTCAATTTATGTTTAACAATTAGAGAGTGTATCCAATTTTCAGTAACATCTAGACATATACGGGCCTAAATCTTACAGTAAAATTAATATTATTATTTTTGGATTAGCGATTTTACAAGAAAGCAGCTGCTTTTGTATTGCGAGCGGTGGCTAGACACTCTCCCGAGCTTGCTCAGGTGCGAAAATTAAATTAAATAACGCAATTCTTAAATTTCTCTTAAATCCGTTACTTGTATTATCGAACATATATATAAATTTATCAATTAATTAATTGCAGCATGTAGTCGATTGTGGAGCCTTAGATGCGCTAGTAGTATGTTTAGAAGAGTTTGATCCTGGTGTTAAGGAAGCAGCAGCATGGGCTCTAGGTTATATTGCTCGCCATAATGCAGGTACAAACTACTTTGTATTGTACTAATTTCTAAATAACCAGAAATAAAAATTATCTTGTTGGATATATCTAATTCTAATTATTTCTCTTAAATAATTCACAGAATTAGCACAAAACGTTGTTGATGCTGGAGCAGTACCACTTCTAGTACTTTGTGTTCAGGAACCGGAGTTATCGCTCAAACGCATTGCAGCATCTGCTTTAAGTGATATATCAAAGCATACCTCAGAGGTTATTCTATATTTGATCATTTAAAGTTTTAAATTATTAAAACTAGTAATCTCTTATAATAATCATAAATATTAATTCTAATTTGTATATTATCAGTTGGCCCAAACTGTTGTCGATGCTGGAGCAATAGCTCATCTCGCTCAAATGATTCTTAACCAGGATGCAAAGTTAAAGGTTAATTAGTGGTTATTACGATTACTGTAGCAATTTATACCGGACAAGCAATTTAATTAAATATTAATTTTGATTGATAGCGCCAAGTCTTTTCAGCTCTCAGCCAGATTGCAAAACATTCAGTTGATCTTGCTGAAATGGTTGTAGAAGCAGAAATCTTTCCTGCTGTACTAAATTGCTTAAAAGATACGGATGAATATGTGAAGAAGAATGTAGCGACACTTATCCGTGAAATTGCAAAGCATACGCCTGAGGTATAGTATATATATATATATATATGTATATCGATATAATGTATTGACAAGAAACTAAAATGATGTATAAAAATAAATAAATCATTGTATTAATTTGGTTACAACCTCTCTTGATTTCAGTTAGCACAGCTGATTGTTAATGCAGGTGGTGTAGCGGCTGTAGTGGATTACGTTGGAGAAACCACAGGAAATGTTCGTTTACCTGGTGTAATGATGTTAGGATATGTAGCCGCCCACTCTGAAAATTTAGCCATGGCCGTTGTAGTATCGAAGGTATGGATTAATAAATAGCACATTATTACTGTATACGAATATGCTGTATAATCCATTCAATTAATAGCATTTATAATTATATCTAAAATAAATTAATTTCAATTTAAATATTAATGCATAAATTTAATCTATTGTAAAAATATGTAGGGTGTTACACAACTATCACTAACAATATCCGAAGAAAAGGAAGATCACATTAGGGTAAGTGGCCTCAAGACAGTTGTAAAAGTAAAGCTAATCAACATGGACCTAATCTGAGATAAATTCTATATGTAGGCTGCCGCAGCATGGGCTCTAGGTCAAATAGGTCGACATACACCTGAGCATGCACGAGCTGTTGCATCCGCTAATGTTTTACCTCGCCTGTTAGAAGCTTATTTGAGCACATTTAGTTCAGAAGATTTGAAAACTAAAGCTAAAAGAGCCTTAAAAAATATTTTACAAAAATGTGTCTATTTACCGGCATTGGAACCTTTACTACACGATGCTCCGCCTAATATACTTAAACATGTTGTTGGTCAATTCTCTAAAGTTCTACCGCACGATAGTAAAGCCAGACGAATGTTTGTTACTAGTGGAGGATTGAAGAAGGTATCTTTACGCACTTATATCATTCAATTTCTTTCAATATGTGTTTCATAGATGTAGATTAATACGACTCGTACAATGATCTTGCCAAGCAGGTTGTATGTTATTATGGATAGTTCTAACTTCTTAAACTACTCTTGTTAGGTTCAAGAAATAAACGCAGAGCCCGGAACCATTTTACACGAATATATCAACACGATTAACAGCTGCTACCCAGAAGAAATTGTGAGGTGAGTCACAAAGCAAGTAATATACATTTCTTGTACCTTTAACAATTTCAAATCTGGCAAAGCGTAACTTTTTCGAATAATATATTTATATAGGTATTATTCCCCTGGTTATTCTGAACGACTTCTTGATCGTGTTGATCAATATGCACCTGGCTCGTAAGCAACAGGAAATCAAGAATCTTATGAAATGAGTTACTCAATTTGTAATAAAATAGTGAATACCGAATAATCATTAACTAAATGTCTTTCTAAAAAAGGCTATATATACTTGCAATTACAATGCTTAAATTGCATTGATATTGTGAAGTCTGCGTACAGTTAATTTAGGTCATACTTATCAACGTATTAATGTCCACATTCCGTTAAAGTTAACTTTTTATTTCAAAATATACTAGTAATAGCAACCCATTTAAATACAATAATATACATAATTTTATTAAAGAATGCTGTTTGTCGATCGTTAAATATCAGCATTTATCGTTAACTGAATATACGTTTTCGTCGGTAATAGTAACATTCAGGCTGTACAAAAAATATTTTTCGTTTAAGTCATAACACATTATGGTAATAATTTACTGCATAAAACTTTAATAAATGCTTATGAATCTCCATTTAACTCCAATCATCGCTGAAATAGTCAATTTTTTTGGCCTTTTCTCCTTCTTTTAAGGCAATTTTATTTAACATTGCACGGCTTTCTTCTATTGCTACATTTGACTGGCATTTTCGCTTGTTAATTTGGTTAATTTCTTCGCTTAATGTATTCTTGGGAATTCTTGATAGTCTAATATATAAAAATATTATAACCTAACTTATATTTTACTCCACTGAGATAAACTTAACAAAATGCAAAAGAAACATTTCACACACAAAAGTAAAGCACACTCTCATACCTGCCAGCAGTTGCTACAGTATTGCGCTTCGGTTCTTCATCATAGCTACTTGTATTACAATCATAATGTTCCGCCAGTTCATGAATGATCTGTCGTTGTTTTGCTTTCATGATCGGAAAAGAGAAGCGTTGAACTTCGCCAGTCTATGTTAAATACGAATTTAAAGTGCGATTAGAACATGAAGCTAACGATTAATCTACAGTATATAAGAAGTGATTCATTGCTAGTCATTACTTCTAGAGCTCTGTTAACTATCAATGCTAAAGATTTTTCAATTGATAAAACCAAGTTTAAATTATGTTGCCCTTCTTCTAATAGCGTCTTGGAGTATTCTTCCCTGAATACTTGCGATTCTTGAATATCCAATGCTTTAGCCAAAGCTCTGCGATAAGGAATTTACATGAGAAGCTTTATAAATAGAAAATAGTAACTGATTGAGATGAATACGCATTTTGTACGTAGCTATCTACCGATTTCTCTCGAGGCGAGCGCACTCGGTATCACATTCCAAACGCCTATTCTCTCTGTTATCTGACGTAATTATATCTGTAATATCAACCGAATTATCACCAATCTGTTGCGAGTGCAGCTTCATGTATAACTTGGATGCATTGTGACGCCTATATTTAGGATTGTTTCTATCTGAGCATAATATCACAGCTTGTCTTCTTCCACAATCACATTTAATGGTGATCTATTAAATAATAAACACCTTCTTAACGCATAAAAAATGACAGTTGTCCACCGTTGATGGCGCTATACTTGTATATGAATACAGTTATAAATTGTAATAATGAATGAAACCTTAACATTTGCAAAATACCTCATGTTTACAAGGTAGATCAGGACACGGAGTATCACCGTGGCAAGGACTATTGCAAGGATGCTCGCAATCACTACGTGGTCTTTGACATGGCTGTCGACATTTATTTTTTTCATCTAAACAATCTCCACTGTGACAATACCGTTGACATTGATGTGAGCATGGTAGTTTCTTCAAGCATAATTCGCCACAAGATACATTCTTGATATGACAAGGGATATTATGCATTTCCTATACAAACAGAAATATTGCCGTGAAAAACTCTAAAATCTATCGGTAACATAGGTATAACAAAAGGTTTACCTTATGTCCACCCATGCAAATCTTCGTCGTTAGAAATGTACAGTTTGGGCAACCATCATAATCTTTACTTTGACACGAGTGTGTAACTGGATGATCACAATCGTGCTCCCTTTGACACAAGTTATCACAAGGAGGTGGTCTAGTTCCGCAAGGGACTAACGGATAAATAACGGCCTCACCACAGTAACAACGTAATTCATCTATACTAAAATTAGGACAAGGCAAACATTTTCCAGAATGGCACGGTTCCTGACATAGGTGAAGTCCGCATGTAAGCTTCCGGTTACATACAAGATCACATATATGTTCGGTATCCTTAATTACAAAAAAATTATAACAGTTAGCATTGTCATAAATGCAAGAACAGTATAATTATATTACAAATAAGTTATACAAGTTCTACTGTAAGTCTGCTTAACAAAAGATCAACCTTCATACTGCAAATACTACAATTACAGGAGATTTAATTAATCAAGTGGAGAAGACCATTGTTAATATCACTAACATTACAGCATTTTTTATTGCATCGATGACGACCGCATTTCTTCTTCTTATTACACGTATAATTACACTTGAAAGTTATATTTTGCTCTAGCTCAACACACGCGATTTCTTTTTTTTCTCGCCCGCAATCACATTTAATTACTGTTGATTTTTCGCAAGGTCCACAAACACCTATGTGGCATGGCTTTTCACACAAGTGCGGTTGACCGTGCTTATCGCGACAATTTAATTCTCGTTGACATATATTATTACATGTGGGAATGGCATCTGTACAAGAATTTCTAGGTTCAGATAGTAATGTAGAAATATCGACTTTTCCGCAAGGACAAGTTTTTATATTTTCAGGAAGCAAAGAACACGAAGGGCATTGTCCTGCATGACATGGTTTAGTGCAGTAATGGTTACCACAATCTAACATCCTATTAATAAATGTACAAACATTCAGTATAATTCCAGTAAACTTTGACTTTACTTTCATTAAACTTAATAGATTTAGGGCATAAAATCTATTACCTTCCACAGATATTTTCGCAAGAATAATATCCAATTTTACCATCAGAATTTATTGACATGTCGCCTATTAAATTTAATTTATCCCGTGATTAATATCATAATATGACCATAGGCAATTGTTTCAGTCCTTCTATCGACTAATTTGCTTTACAAACCTGTACCACATAATGCTTGACGTGAACTACTTCCACAATAGCATCCTGTAATAGAAAAAACACGCATTGATGAAATTAAAAACGCATATTTTATCATGATATTAACAAGGGTAGGTTATCACTAGAAAAAACTGAGTTTTTATATCCTCTGTTCCTATACATATACTACTATACGCATGTATTACCTTGATCAATGATCAATTCACAGGGTGAACAGTCTCCTAAATATGTCCAACAAAAACAGTAATGGTTACCGTGGAAATCGTAGGTTTTGTGACAGTTGCTTGAAATGAAGATAAATTATGATATCGATCTTTCTTTGCGTGTAAACACTTGCAATTACCTGCATGACAAATTTCTTTACAGTAGTGCGTTTGACATGAAAGTAATTTATTGCACTCTACGCCACAGTTAATTTCTGTTAATACGCCACAGCGGACTCGAGTACTAAAAGGATATTTGAAATTTCGTATTATTTAGTGACTCAAGAATCTACAATTGTGATCCATGAAAGATTCAAATAATGATAATAATAAAATTGCAATGTAAGCTTAAGTTTAAGCGTACATCCTACGTTAGCTACCTAGATTTACCACATGAGCACTTTCTATTAATTGTGGCAGGGCAAGGTGGACATGGTCCTGGATGACAAGGCCTATACGTGGTTATTTTACATTTATAAATTATACACGAATGCATCGTTTTCTACCATTCAAATTCATACAGTTTACTGTATTGCGTGGTATATTAGACACTATAACATTCTATTTTAATTAATTAAGTAAATTGCTGCTTACATATTGCAGAGATGAGTACAATGTTCTACTGAACGTTTCTTATGGCATAACATTCCACAAGCTGAAACGATTAAAAATGAAATTAAATTCTTTTCTCGATCGCTCATTTATCCTGAAAGGTCAGTATTTTAACTAGATAATGGACGTACAATGTGGCACACTGTAGCCATAGCGATCAGGTTTAGGATTGGTTGATTTACCTATATAACAATCAAGTACAGGTACCCATTACTGAATTAGATAGTTATAATACCTCATTTTGATGAGATATCAAGTCCATTCTCTTTGTCGTATACGTAGGATAGAATCTTACCGCAAAAGCATTTATAATGATGGGGTACGTAATCTATTAAATTCTGGCATGCTGGACATCTCCATTGCTCGCTGGATTCTATTTGTTTGAGATGGAAGGCAATATTGTTCAAAAATAGTAGTAAAACTTTTGTAGTTTTTTTTTGAAGTTTTGATTAGAAATATTGACGTATAGTTAAATTAAGGTAAATCTAAGCATAAAAGTCTTTCTATTAGTTGTCATAAATCAATCAAGTATTCAATCCCTTTGATTATATTGTTTGAGCGTATGCTTGCCTTCACTTTTAGCCGCAGACGAAGTAGCCCATTTCCTAATGCACGGTAAGTGATAAATGTGAAAGCATGACTGACAGCTCCAAATTCGAGAGTTGATTTTAACAGCTTCACAACAGATCATGCAATCATATTCTTCTTTATGTAACTGTTCGATAAGTATGTCCATTTGATTTTCATCATGTTGTCGTTGTATATTTGGAGGGATATTCTTCTTCTAGATTCGATATTCAATTATAAAATGCTGATATTAATCAAAATAGAGATTTCAAAAGGCTATGCTTGAACATTACTTGAATACCGTCTTCAGTCTGTTACCTTCATATATCGAACATTAATATTGGAAATTTTGTTGTTGTTGTTGTTATTATGGCCATGCGAATTTCTCCAATTTGCTTGAAAAGAGTTTTCGTATCTGTCACCTTTTCTATGTCGAGTAGTTTTACTTGGTGGTAATGGAATTTCGTGTTGATCGACACTATTTCTATTGATTTTATAATTCAACTCGTTTTCATCTTTACGGCTAGGATTATTCTTATCTAATTGATCATCCTGAACGTTGTTGTCATGATCATTGGTAGAATTTGCAGTTTCTTGCTTGGATTCTTTCCTACTACTCAATTTACCTCTGCCTTTACCTCTACGTGTATATTTCTGGGTATCACGTTCTCTATTCCAACTTTTACGTCTATTTCTATCATGATTCTTGACTCCATCAGAATATCGAACATTGCTATCTTTATCATTTTGATGTCGTTTTCCATAGTTTTCATCATATCTATCATCATATCTAGGAGTAGGCTGATTATTGTTCATTTCTAATGGATGTGCATAGACATCTTGTACATCGGTAGAGAGAGTATCGTTCGTTGTAGGATTGAATTGGGCTTGTTGTGTGGTTTGAGTGATTTGATCATAGGATAAAGGTTGTTTGCGAGAGTCCGTCGTAGTATGCTGGTGGAATTGATGCCTATGAGATCTGTTACCATAAGGTTGATTGGAGTGATCGTGAAAGGGGTTTTCTTGTGGCGTTCCATTCCTAGTTGGATGGCGTTTATAATTCTTCTTGTAGTTGTTAGCATGACGATCTTGTTGATCATTTTGCTTCGATGGACGTCGACTATTATAATTGTTATGATTATACCCGCGTGAGAAGCGGTTAGCACCACTTTCGTCCTGATGACGCGTATATTGGAATTTATTTCCAGGATTGATTTGAGCTTGGTTGTCTATTGGACACTCCTTAACTTTAGGATAGCATTCTCCTTCGTCATTTGCACCGGTTGATGATCGATTGTGACGGTCATTGCCATTGCGATCATGCCTAGCATATTTTCCACCCTTGGCACGATTACTTTGTTCTTGATCCTTGCACGAATGTTGTTGCATGCTAATATTGAAATCTTTTTGCAAATAGTAAACACAATTGAAATGGCCAGTCCACAAATTGTCGTCCAGTCTGGATACGTCTAGATGATGCAAGTATGGAAAAAATAGATCAAGATGACCACCAAAAGGGTAAAATAGCTACAGGACAGTCTATCCAATTATAATTATTGCCGATAGCTTGTGCAATAGGCAATGGAATAAATTTCTATCGTCAAATGGCGAGTTGGACGATCTTATAAAGGTTCTTCCTATCCCAGCTTGGCTGTAGTACAACTACCCAAACACTCTATATCACGTAATGTAATAGTATAAGAAAGCCGTGTAAGAAAAAGTAAACTATCCAATGTATCAAAAGCTCCTGGCTCGACTGATTTTTTGCATCGTCAGTCATTTCTATTTTAAGCGCAGTCATGTTACATCATAAATTAGTATGATGATTCTTGCTGGACAATTGATACACGATGAGTATGCATACCCGTATACTACTTTACACCTTGATACTGTACCTGTAATTTTCACACCCGTTGGATTGGCAAGCTTCTTGCATCTACTCTACCCCGACCAGGCTGACAAATGAGTTCAAAAATGGCGAAAAACGTTGAAAAATGGCGAATATGTTGGAAGATGTCGAAAAATGGCTATTTAACCTTGACTTAACTGAATAAATGCATCTTAGATGCCTCTTTTCTAAGTCACTGGTACTAATTGAATAACATAGACCATCTTATATCGCTGTTTCTAAGCCGAACTTTAGTCACAGATAATAACATTCAATGTAATATTCTACCCCGATCAGTCTTACAAATGAGTTAAGAAATGTTGAAGAATGGCGAAGAATGGCTACTTAACCTTGACTTAACTGAATAGATGCATCTTGGATGCCTCTTGGATGCCTCTTTTCTAAGTCACTGGTACTAATTGAAATAACATAGACCATCTTATATCGCTGTTTCTAAGCCGAACTTTAGTCACAGATGATAACATTCAATGTAATATTCTACCCCGATCAGTCTTACAAATGAGTTAAGAAATGTTGAAAAATGGTGAAAAATGGCTACTTAACCTTGACTTAACTGAATAGATGCATCTTGGATGCCTCTTTTCTAAGTCACTGGTACTAATTGAAATAACATAGACCATCTTATATCGCTGTTTCTAAGCCGAACTTTAGTCACAGATGATAACATTCAATGTAATATTCTACCCCGATCAGTCTTACAAATGAGTTAAGAAATGTTGAAAAATGGCGAAAAATGGCTACTTAACCAGGACTTAACTGAATAAATGCATCTTGGATGCCTCTTTTCTAAGTCACTGGGACTAATTGAAATAACATTGACCATCTTACATAGCTGTTTCTAAGCCGAACTTTAGTCACAGATGATAACATTCAATATAATATTCTACCCCGATCAGTCTTACAAATGAGTTAAGAAATGTTGAAAAATGGCGAAAAATGGCTACTTAACCATGACTTAACTGAATAGATGCATCTTGGATGCCTCTTTTCTAAGTCACTGGTACTAATTGAAATAACATTGACCATCTTATATCGCTGTTTCTAAACCGAACTTTAGTCACAGATGATAACATTCAATGTAATTTCTACCCCGATCAGTCTTACAAATGAGTTAAGAAATGTTAAAAAATGGCTACTTAACCTTGACTTAACTGAATAGATGCATCTTAGATGCCTCTTTTCTAAGTCACTGGGACTAATTGAAATAACATAGACCATCTTATATCGCTGTTTCTAAACCGAACTTTAGTCACAGATGATAACATTCAATGTAATATGATTTTATTGAGAAAAAACAGTCCAAAGTCTCGACATGTTTTGCTGAAAATAAATATACAATCTACAGTCTATTCTTGCCATCGATCAACGTTAGTTTTGCAGAAGATTCAATGTAATATGATTTTATTGAGAAAAATCAGTCAGAGTGATGTA